TTTTTCTTCCTCTCTTTTCTTTCTTGCCTTTTCTCTCTCAATTTCCGGTACCTACGGGTTACTAAAATTTTTCTCCTATTTTAACACTTGCTATATATATATATACTTACTTACTTTCATTCAGCTACAAGTGTTAAAAATTAATGGGATAAGGTGTAAAGGTTATGGGTGAGTCATGAGGAAAGTCGGTCGCTTTGGAATCCATAATGGGTGAGTTGGCATTAAATTCATTTATTGCATTTGCTTAGGTGTCTATATAAAATTTAGACTAATTAAAATCATTAATTAACTTAATTCAAGTAACTAAAACTACTTTCTTTCATAAAAATTCGAAAATTTTCATTTTTAAAAATTCAGAATTTCTTTTCCCCCTAAAATTCCAAGTAGTGTTTCCTCCTAACCCATCTATACTAAAATGTGCATAACTCTTTTATATGTATCCAAAAATTATTAAATTTTATAAAGAGCTATTACACACATAGAAAAACAACTTTTATTCTTTAAGTTTTGCTTAAAAATCAATCTAACAAGCATCAAATAAATCTCACAAGATTCGGGCGATTCTTCTCCTAAAATTCCAGCAGAATGCATTTCAAAACAACCCTCACTATAATTGGTATACCTCTTAATGTATAGGTCTAAATATTATAAAATTTTATACAAATCTAGTCAACACATAGAGGAACAACTTTTATTCTTTAAGATTGACCCAAAAAGTACCCTAAAGTCCTCAAATAATTCACCCAAAACTCAAGCGTAATATAGTCCTTAAAACACCGATTTTGCATATTTGATTTCTTTAATAATTAAACCATTAATCTTAAGCACAATAACTTTAATTTAACATAAATAACATATTTCAAGCATTAATTTCTCATGATGAAATGATAATTATACTTGCTCTTAATATACATATATATAGAATTATTCTAATACACGTCGCGTTATGGATAGGGGTTTTTACTGGGGTTACATTATGTCTCTCTCTCTCTCTCTCTCTCATATATATATATATATATATATATATATCATTGATTTTATTAAAAATTAATTACACATCTACACACATAACACCAACCATTTACTATTTTTTTTCTTTTGAATATTTTATAATTAGTTTTTTGAATAAAATAATATCTTAAAGAATCACATAATGCTTCAAATACAATTTTTAATGCTATATTATTGATTATTTTGTGATTGTACATATATATATCAAATGTACATGCTTTCAAAAAATAATTTTTTCATCAATATTAAATAATAAAAAAATATATTTTATTTGTTAATTTTTAAACAAATTTTTATATATATAACTTTATGGAAAAAATATTAAGGTTTTCTTAAGAATTTCAAATTCAATTTTCTATTTAAATTGTTGCATGTTTTATTTAAGAATCAATGCATAAAAAAGAACAAATCATGTTTTTTAGTCAAAAATTTATGAAAAACATAAGAAAGAATCAATTAAATAGAAGATTTGATTAAGAAGTTATTAAATTATTTTGTTTTATTTTATCTTTGATCTAATATATTTTAATAGACCCGCAATATGACGTCGGTTATCAAATTAAAATAATTTGATTATATCCAATGCCTCCAAGGTTATATCCGATACGCAAAATAACGTAGGTAACGAACTAGTTTTAGCTAGACTAGTAGTTTCCCAATACCGACTTTCTCTCATCATGTTGGATAGCTTTTGGTATGTCGAGAAGATATTGAATAAAGAGTCAAATAAAATAAGATATAATCTTGATCTACAATTTTTATGCATTTATAAGTGATATTCCTAGATGATATGTGTCATCATACGATTCCCTTGTTAATTAAGCTATTATGCCCGATCGGACGTTTCGAGAGGATGGAACTACATTTGAGGAGGTGGATAGACCGTTAAGATATACCCACGATAAAAGCTTGGATAGCCCCGACTTGGACGATCAAACCAACCTCCACCAATTGAAAAAGACAAGCAAAAAATTTGTTAAATAAAGGCATATGCCTCCAAGGTTACTTTTATCTAACTAAGCACCAACTATCACACTATCATACTCTTCCAACAAGTAACTCGCTAACATCAAGAACATGCATCTTTCAAGTTGATATCGCAGCTATCAACGGTAAGAGAATGGACCATTCGACTTCTCGAGTTGATTCGTCATTTCTCTCAAATGGACGAAATCCTCTTAGGCAACATCTCTTTCCTAGTAGTAGTTGCTAGTGGTCTTCTTCATCTCTTTTATCTCCTTAACCCTAGCATATAAGGTCCTATCTACCTTTTTCTATCCTCGAATAGTAGCTTGCTTGAAGCTATATGTTTTTTTTCCTCCACGAGACCCTTAGCCAATGAACCCTTCATTTTCTTTATTTTCCCTTCACCTCATTATGAAAGAAGTGCAACTCGATCTTTGCTAGGATGGTTTCTCGAAGCTTATGATATGCATCACAAGTCCCTAATATATCCTTCATTTTGGCCTCCTATCTATAAAGGTTATAAGTCCGTACTTAGAAAGCCTACAAACAAAACTAGGTCAACAATTGATAAATAAAGCTAAAACAATAGAAAGGAGAAAGAGAATATATACTTACATCGAGGGTCACTGCATGACCTTTCTCATCTAGCCGAGTAAAGAGTTGTTTTCCAAGACTTCATATCTTTTGGGAATTAGAAAGATAGCCAAATAGATGGGAAAATTTTCCTTATCTTTACCCCAAGAGGTAGGGTTATCTCCAAACGCCTTCGCCTCACATGGAGTTGTTCTTTCAACAAGATGGTAGAGGCGGATTAGAAACCAATCCATGATAGATCGAAGGAACTTTCACCAATTTCTTTTCAAGAGTGTGGCATAGATGGGGAAGCTTTTCCAATTGGGATAAAAGCCATTAAGTCTCATGATATAGTTGAAGTCACTATCCATGTTATAGTAGGCTAAATGGAAGATTGAAGGCCTAATTGTCGCTTCGGTGGATTCTCTATAACAAAGGTAGTTGAATTTGTTCTCTCGTTGTTTGGCTATGCAAGCTCCAGCTCCACCAAGGCCTATTTCTTCTCTCTCTTGCTTGATGTCTTCGGAAGTAGGCATGCGGGGTGTGAAGAAAGAAGAATTTGAGTGCGAAGGGTCTCTACTTTCTAAAAAACCCTTCTAACTTAGAAAAATCTTGATTCTTCCTCACTAGTAGTGGGGGAATCATTGCTCATGTAGGACTTTGCTCTTTCCCTCCTAACTTGCTCATAAGGTGGCCTAAAAGGACTAAATTCATCCACCAAATGAACTCCTTCTTCTTTAAACTCTTTTAATTTAAATTTTTTTTTTTACTCAAGTGCTTCATTCACTATAAAAAAAAATGTTAGTTTATCTATATTAAAGCTTTTAGCAAGAAAAGAATAGAGGATAGTCTATCGACGTTTCAAACTATGAGCTAAAGACAACCCCTTAACTAAGAGGTTGATATGATACTTTCCACCTTTGTTATCTATCTAATCTTAAAAGTCTTGGTCAGTACTAGATTGTAAAAAGATGATGTTGTAATTTTCCTTAGGCTTTTTTCAAAAAGTGGCCACACCTTACACCTTCTCGCTCTACCTGGAGGCATAAGTCTTCTATACTTCATTATAAACAACTCTTTTCTCCATCATTTGATGTGGTTAGTCTTATCCATGAATATCTAATTCAATGGGCTTGACTTCTGGCTAAAAAGTGTAAAACCAGGCTAGTTTTTACTTTTTTCAAGAACTCCCATCTATAAGGTAAAAGTATATAAAAGGCCTAAAGGTAGAGATTGCTTCAAACTACTTGTAAAAATTCTCAAAAGCGAGTTATGATTGTCCAACCATTTGGGTATAGTTGGCTCACACATAAATTATAGCACTAGAGAACCTTCGATATAAACGTGATTAAAAAGAGGTCGTAGTTATAGGCAAACATACATGTGTTGATACATATTTCTATATTCCTTTTCTATCCCTAATTGAATGCTTATTAATCCTATCATCATAGCCGGGAATGACTATAGAGTACCCTCATCTTAAATGCTTATTAAAAGTAGCTAGCCTTTTTATAGATACCCTATTAGGGTGCTTATCGTTTAAGAGACCCTTAGACATCCATGTATGAGGAATTACTAACTCCTCATCCCGACCCTCTTCCCTCCTCACATGGTGGCCTCCTTTCGAGACAACCTTGAATCTACTTCTAGTTTTGTTTAGACCTATCATATTTGCTAAGAAAGAAAATAGATTACTTGCTGAAAAATCGTTGATCGCTAGAAAAGGATGGGCAACCATGAAAAAGATTGATTTTCTCTTCAAAACCACCAAGTTGGTGGTGATTATTACTCTAGCAGGGCTAGATGATCTCCTAGGGATTTTTCGTGGGTAAAAATAATTTGAAAAGTTTTAAAAAATATTGTCACAACTCACCAAAAAACATCTTTTTTAAGAACCGAAAAGAGAAAAAAAAAGATGAAAAATAAGAGAAAAAATGACTTTCATGTCTTATATAGGCTAAAGCACGTGGAATTCCATATTAAATCATCCAAAATTTCCATACCCGGCTACCAAGCCTAATATGATGCTACCAATAACAATCGAACATATACGCCATTTAACAAATGACATGGGTTAAAATCTTGATGGGTCTTAGCAAAAATACCGGTCTTTTTACCTTTTCCTATACATCCATATGCTAACGATTGATCTATTTTGTAAAAGCACAAATACTAAGGCAAAATGTAAAACCGACCCTTAAATGAGACTGATGAGGAGACCATTTGACTATCTCAAATGTGACACATGTCTTATAAAAGGACTTGTTTTGTAAGTGTTTACTAAATCACTACCATCATCCATCACCAAGAACCTCAACCTAAGCATCAACCATTGAAGAGCTATATCATTATTAAAGGTCTTTCAACTTTATCATTTAGAACATTACATATGTTAAATTGTTAGTGTCTTTTATACCAATACTAGTTTACGGTATAATATGCTCAAATAGATGATGTTGAGTAATAATGAGTTACTCGTGTATTTGTTTCAAGACTTGTTCATTTATTGGGATGTTGAAGCTACTCCTACTTTCTTGGGATGGTCGACGATTGGACATGCTTGTCGACTCCAACAAGCCAATATTACAAAAGAAGAGAAACACTATCGTAGACTCGGGATCCTTTATGACGAGTTGTGGTGGCTCCCAACATCTATGAGAGCCTACTATGGGCGGTTCTCGATGCCTGTGAGAGCCTATAGAACATTGTCTTAAATAGCTCATATCACATAATGTAACAATCATTATAGAATAGTATCGGAACACCTCGCTAACATTATTTGACGTTATAGGTGCTCTGTTGCCACTTCACAACTATAACGACGTCATATATATTTTTTAAAAAGACTTACGACCTTTGCGAGCTTATAGCTACCATGTGATTTGGTCTTTTTCAGCTTTTTTATCTCTATCAACCATAACGTTTGTAGAATTTACGTGCTCGTAAATATAAAATACAAAAATTGAAAAGAAGAAGAGATCATGACAAGAACCGTTTTTAGAAAAAAGAAGAGACCAAGGCAAGAATCGTTTTTAGAGAAGAAAAAGAGACATGGAGAGAGGTGTTTTTAGGAAAAAGGAAGAGACAAGGAGGGAGGTAGCATAAAAAAATTCTAGGTTTCGGAAAGACAAATGAACCTTTCACTTAAATCTAGGAATTAATTTTAGGCCATGTTATATAATTGGATCCATAATAAAGAAATAACCCATACAATTCTTATTAAGCCTTTTTTTTTAAAGTGATAACTGAGCCTAGTTTTAAAAATACCTTTATATATATATATATATATATATATATAGTACTTTGTATAACTTTGAAAAAAATTAATAATGTTTTTATTTTTTTTATAGCATAAAAAAATTATAAGTCAATTTTTTATTTGCTCTAACAACCAATAAATATATTATAATTTTATTCAAACAATTTTTGAAAAACAATTTAATAGTTAGGTTATAATTTTATTCAAACAATTTTTGAAAAACAATTTGACAGTTAGGTTAAGTTAAAATTTAATTTTTAATAGTGCAATTATCATTGAATTATAATGGTGTGTATATATAATTAAAAAAAAGAAGATATTATTATGTTTATTAATTAAAAATATCAAACTGACATGTATTTTAAATTTTGTCATGGTAATTAAATGATTCACAACAAAGATAGCCACGACCATTATCCGTTAACTATTAAATTCCACATTCTTTATTACAATGCAGGACCGTTATTACAAATGTGACTACTATTTAAAACTAGCTATAGAACATAATCTTAGCCAATTGTTTGTGTTTCTTTAGTTGTTAAAATTTTGAGCATTTGCCTGTATATTTTAGACATTGTCATGTAGATAGAATTAACATATTTTTCTGCTTCCGATGCTTGGCAAGAATGAGCAACTTCACAGTAATTCTTCAAAAATCAGTCTATGTAAATATTATTTATTCTCATCGTATTGTTTTCCGCAATATTTTGTCAGAAATTTTTAATAATTGGTTTGTGGTTTTTCTTTGAATCGGTATCGTGGATGCAATTTCCACATTTCACCATCTAGTGCCCCACCGCTGCAGTTTTGCTTTCTGTCAATTTTGAAAATCTTTAGAAATGCCTCGAAAGCAAAAGCATGCACAACTCTTTGACTCTTTCTCCTTTAACAACCACGTTCTATCACAGTTTTTTTGGGGTCCAATTTGAGTCAGTGACAAAGAGTTGTCAAGAGTTGGATGGCATTTTCTTTTCTGTTATAGCTTTATCTCTCTGGCACTTCAAGTTGTACAACTAATGGAGTATTCTGAAGTCTGAACCTCTCATGAATCCGTGTGGACCCTAAATTTCCCTCATATCATATAGTCATGCTGGTTTCTATAGCACCATCAAATCATGCCCTTTGTCATTTTTTTTTTTTCAAAAACTTCTAATATTTTATGTAATACGGTTCCAATACAGGTCCTACAAGCCAGATAAGCCTGAGCATATATACATATATACACACACATCCACTTTCTGTATGATGTCATTCACAAACCCTGAGAATTGGTTTAAAAGGGTTTGCTGGCAAGTGATCATTTCAGGTTCAAATCCAAGTAGGGGTTGGTTTTAGTTTACTCTCCACGATTATCATTTCAGTTTAAATTCAAATTCAATGGCGTAAGGGAAAAAGGAAAAATCTCTTGGGAAAAGATTTAAGTCTCTATCCCAAAAAACTAGCCTAAAAAGAAAATACTTGCAACGTGTTTATTGTATCATTGAGTTGATAATGTAAAATTTCACAACAATGTTACGCTACAAAAGTTTGGACCTTGGCCCCTTTGGAACAAAACTTGAAAATAAAACGATAGCTTACCTCTTCTATACTTTCTTGTTCTTGGTCCTGCCTGCATATTATTTTAATTCAATCCTAGCCGTCTGTCAATTGGACATATCTTTCGGTATAAAATCTTTTGTTAAAATTCTCTCTCTCATCAAAGTCAACTAATCATCAATCCAAATGACAGCTCTCCCACTAACACTTGCCCACGTTTCTGCCAGCTGATCCAAAAATACTCGTTCAACCAAATAGTTTTAGGACAAAAAAGATGTTTTCCTGTCCTTATACAACAATCAACTTGGACCCCATCACGTGCGATAGACCAGATTTCATTGCAATCAGACCATCAAATACTGATAAATATCACATGAAAACATACGTTACTGGACACGGACGATTGTTCTATCCAAATCCAGACACTTGAGAATCTAAGCAAGAAAAAATGAAGGCATATAGAAACTACCATGACAAATGTAAAAGAAAAGTTACACCACCTTATTTTACACTCTTCAGGTAAATTGTAGATACAAATTATAGTAAATGATTTGATTAAAACATATCAGAACTAGGCAAAACGATAACTAAATGAATTAGACATGAAAAAATTTAAGAAAAAAGCCAAATTCAATTCCTCTGATGATTGGCAGTAGATTGCAAACTGCCTTACTGGATTTTGGAAAACTTGATATCAAATGCAGTCCCTTTGATAAGCTCATCGTCCTTTTGGGTTCATGATCTGTGAGAACACAGCGCTTGGTGTTAAGCCATCAGAGTCTTCACTTGCGAGGCTCCGACCGCCTATGCTCATACTGATTCCACTGCTCCTCGAATCTGTTATATTACCATCATAACCGGGGGATGCATCAGGATCTTTCTTCCCTTTGTAGGCGACATTGAATGGCACCTCCTCCTCGTCTGCTTCGACAATACCCTTGCCACTGTCCTCTGCACTCTCTTGTAGCTGCAAGGCAAACTCCAAGTTCCAGAGTACGTCACCCATTGATGGCCTGTCAATGCTTTGATCAGAGACGCACTTCATTGCAGTCTCAGCAAACTTTTTGAAGCATTCTGGTGAAATCTTCCCCTTCAGATAGGGGTCAAGAATCTGATCAAGAATGCCTTTCTTATGGCAATGAGCAGCCCACTCTGCCAGGCTCACCTGTTCCTTGGGCAGTGTTGGGTTCAATGCCGGTCGAGCGCAGAGGATCTCAAACAGCACAACTCCAAATGAGTAAACATCCGATTTTTCAGTTAGTTGTTGCCTCCTGAAGTACTCCGGATCCAGATAGCCAAAACTACCTTTGACAACAGTGCTGACATGAGTGTGATCCAATGTAGGGCCTGTTTTTGACAACCCAAAATCAGAGACCTTGGCAACCCACTTCTCATCCAAAAGAATGTTTGTTGTCTTGACATCACGGTGGATGATAGTGTGCTTTGCACCAGTATGGAGATAGTGCAAACCACGAGCAGCCCCAATGCATATCTCAAGTCTTTGCTTCCATGGAAGAGGGGGCCTTTGGGTTTTGTATAGATGTTCACGCAATGTTCCATAAGCCATATAGTCATAGACAAGAATCATCTCTGTATTCTCTTCACAGTACCCAATCAATGAAACAAGGTGGCGGTGTCGAAGTTTTGAGAGCATTTCAATCTCAGTCTGGAACTCATGCACTCCTTGCTCGGAGAGTGGATTGCCACGCTTGATTGCAACTTTAGTTGTTCCACCATCAATTTCTCCCTTGTAAACTTTACCAAAACCTCCCACCCCAAGGAGCAAATTCTCATCAAAGTTCTTGGTGGCAGAATTGATCTCAGCAAACGAGAAGTGGCGGCAAAGGTTTGAAGGCAGAGAGGAAGCATAACTTCCTGTTGTATTTGTCTTGGCTGATCCAGCAGAATGTGAATTTCCATAGAGAGAAAGGGGAAGCCACCCAGATGGCCCATCACTTGAACTTGCCTCCTTTCCATGTCTACGGTGACGGGATGCAGCGAGAATACAGAAACCGATGACAACAGCTAGAACAACTCCACCACTCACACCTCCAGCTATAATTGCTGTTTGGCTCTTTGAATGTCCAGAGCCAGATGCTGGTCTGGCCTTTGTGGGGTCAATTTCCTCCTGTTTAGGAGCAGGAATTGGATTTGGTCCAGCAAGATTACCATCATTTGGACTGCTTAACTTGAAAATCTCTACACCATTTAGGATTGCATCGTAATACTGGGGCTTTGATTTTGGATTGGGATGAAGTGCAAGCCATATATCCTGCTGGGGAGGTCCGCTAGGAACTAGTACAACATAATCTTTATAAACCGGAACTCCATTGTTCCCATTACCCCCTGCCCAAGCCATCACATCTGCTCCATCTTCAGCAGTTTGATTATTGAGGAAGACGTCAAACACTCTTTGATTAATCATGGTTATATTCGAAACCTCACAAAAATGGAGCCTAACCAAGTAACTGAAACTGGAATCCACGCTAAAAAGCCAAGTCAAATTGTAATTCATGGTGACGCGAGGATCTGGCCCCATGGATCTAGCAGTAGCATACACATTAGCTGGGGCAACATAGGAGGGCATCCCTGGAGGATATCTAATTGTCGTATTTGGATCAGCACTCTGTGGAACACCAAATGCAGCCCCATAAAGATATATCTGATCATCAGACCACGACCGAAATAGACCTGTATCTTCAGACGGTGTGATGCTATTACCTCCCACATTTAACCGATATACATTCTCAAGGGCAGTAGTATTGTCAATGGTAAATGGGGAATCTTGGCCGACAATCATCACTCCATCAACATTACTATAAATGTCCGGCATTGAAACGATTTCAATTCCATTTACAAATGCATAAGCACTCGAAGGATTTGAAGACGGACTGAAGGTTATGTTCAATGTATCACCATCCACATTGACCAAATACTCCTTCATAATTGAAACATAATTCAAAGCTTCTGCGGTTTGAGCAACACTGAAATTGCTAAGAAGTGTATAAGACCCAGCAGTAACATAAAAGAGAGCATTGGATGCATTAAGCCCATTGTATGAAGAAGGATAGAAATACAAACGAATGAATTTACGACCAGAAACCACAGGGACACTATAGGAAAAATTGGACCGAAAAATACGAGCTGTTAGATACGGAACTTGGGGAACGGCAGGGTCCTGAGTGGAAGCAGTGGCTGTGGAAGAATTTGCAGACGAAGACAAGAATGAAGAACCCCTATCTGAGGTCCAAACCCGACCATCCGAATCGGGTTGATCGGACTTGGCCCCACAATCTAACAGGATTTTCTCGGTGGGAACATAATTTGCAGCAAAAATAACTTGAATTGAAGATAACAAGCAAAGAGAAACAAGAACAGAGGGACAGAACCACTTATCCATGCTTCTCATGGACTCAAAACCTCAACAAAACAAGCTAAAAAATCCCTCTCCTTATGAGAACCCGAGAAATTAAACACCCAAAACACAAAGCAATCTCAAAACAGAAGCTCGACAAGGATAAAGTAGAGATCTGGATGCTTAAGCACTCAAATCAAGCTCAAACCTTTAGTGACCAGATCAAGGACTAGCTAAACAAACACCAAAAACCCAGTTCCCAAACAAGAAAAACCAGCTAAGAGCTTGATTAATAGGAGCTAAGAAACCAGCACTAGAATCCCAAAGACAATGAAGGAAAGGAAGCACTACTAATAATGGGCTTATAGAGAGAGAAACACAGAGAACTCAAGCCATCTTTCTTAAGCTCTAGGAGATCAAAAAATTGGAGATTAGATTCAATCAAGGTGAAAGTTTACCTTTTCAGAATGACTCAGCTGAAAACAATCCGAAAGAGAAACGAACTCACTGGGTCAAATCGGACAGATCGCTTGAATTTTTGGTAAGAAATTGAAGAAACTAGGAAAGAAAACCAACTTGTGTTGGCTTTAGTAGTTGCAGTCGCAATTGTTTTTTCAGTTATGTCACTAGTTGTGTTGGGTGCTGCCAATGATGTAGTAACTTCTTGATGGTACTATTTCAGTAACCTCAAATTAGTCTTCATTCTATCAGCTAGTTTTCAATTTAGTTACTAAATTAAAAAACTTTATTCTGAAATTACCTTTCCCCATAGAATCACTCCATCCATTAAATTTTAACTAGATTAAATGATTCATTCAAAAACCTTATGTCTTCGCAATGTAGTCAATTCAAGATATCTTATAGTATCTCTATTGAGATACCTTATTGTATCACTAGATTGATTAAATTTTAACTAGATTAACCGATTCATTTAAAAACCTAATGTTTTTACAGCTTAATCAATTCGAATTAATTTCAAGCATTATATATGAACCAATTAAAATCGACTAAGACTAGTAAAATCAAATAATAGACAATTTATTAGATTAATTACTAGTTTTAAATTCATTTTTAACTCAATTTTAAAACATAGAAAAACGTGCAGTTTGTATGGTTTGAATTTGAAAAAATTATTTGGGACAATAATTTTTTCAAATTCGGCACCTCTTTCTTTAAAAATTATGCATCTATCAATTTAGCATTTTTTGTTTTTCTTTTTATATATAACAAATTATATTTACATCACAATAATATTAATCTCACGTCAATAACGAAACATTGTAAATGTTTTAACGAATTCAATCAATGCCTTATTGTTTTTTTAAATACTAATAATCCCAAGATACACTCAATGATCTAGTGGTTGAACCAAATAATCCGGGCTGATTTTAATCGCAGGAGAGGATATTTGATTTTGGAATTCGTAGAAGTGGGAGACTAAATTGTGAAATGTTTTGTTTGAGAACTTAATTACAATAATTAGATAGTTGAAGGACTGAAGTTTCCCCATGTTTTATTTAATGTGAAAGGAGCTTGAAATGCTTGCTTTCGTGGAAGAATCTGGAGACAAGAAAGCCCTAGGAGGTGATGGTAATTACAGTATTTGCCATTCGTAGTGGAAAATGAAATATGATTGGATGACAGATCACTTATTAAGGAGCGGGGAGTATTCACTAAAACGCGTTCGAATGAGACCGTTTTTACGCGTTTTGTCCTTTAGGCCCTCATTATCTAGCTGCCTCCTACCTGTTAATGATTTTTTTGTTGTTTTATCATTTTCCTATGTTTGGCATTAAAAAAAAGAAAAGAAAAAATTGAATTGCTTTAGAACTTGTTCGCGTAATCTTTTTGGTGGGTCGGTGTTAACGTTTGTAGAATCTTATTTAAGAAAATTTTAGCTATGATTATGGGAAAAAATTAAAATCCAATAAAAATTAAAGTTTTGGGTTTTCCATCAAATTCAAATCGATTATGAAAAATAAAACTGTTTAATTTCAGTATATTTTTAACTAAATCAGAAATATGAATTTAACCATAATGCGTGAAAGATGGTTTAAAAATACTTTTAGTCGTGACACGAAAAAGAAAAAAAAAGCATAGATTTCTTAATAAGGGTTTTAGTTTCATTCGAAGGTGAATTTAATCAGAATTGGTTTGTTAACCACATTGCCAAGGGATAAGTCCACCTTCTGGGCAGGAAATTAGAAGGGGAAATAGAAATTGGAGCTTAGCTCATACACAGAAGAGAATTTATTGTGTGGCAAAAAAAAAAAAAAAAAAAAAGAAGTATAGCAAGTAAATGTTTTAATTTCTTATAATATTTATTTCGAAAATGGGGGTTTGAATTGGAATTTCTAGAGGATAGGTCACTGATAAAAATAAAAAAATAAAACCTTAGTTCATGAACTTTATTTAATAAAGAAAATATTTTCTTAGTTCAACCTCATTGGCTCGATTACTATATAATAATAATAAAAAAAAAATCTTATTTCAAACTCTTAATGTTATTAAATTTAATGATTTGCTTTTTCTATAATTTTCTAAGTTCGAAATTTTTAAAACCAACAAATAAAAAAAATGTATTCTTTCAAATGCAATATGTTGATATAGAAATACATTGATGCTAGATCTACGCTTAGGTTTAGTATCAGTTAATATAAAAATTAACCGAACCTTTTACTATAAAATAAAAAATAATACAATATATTGTTTATATTCAATTTCTTACATGACATTACACTTCTTGTTAGACATGCATGCCACTAATCATCATCATCATCGTCATGCATAAGGACTCCACCACTCCATTAAATTGATATGAACCATGCAATGTTTTATTTATTGTATATATGGTAGATTAAGGTTAAGCTTTCTCGATTAGGTAAAAGTCTTTTTCAACCTTTAATCATTATTTTTTATTTATTTATTTGCGCTATTATCACAAAACCTAAAGAACGTCTGAATGTAAAACATTTAACCAATTAGGCAAGTTTTTATTAATTGTGGAGGTTCCCAAAGGGCAAAAATGGGTGCAACTTAAGTAAATAGTACTCAACGCGTTTGACCTTAATTTTCGTTTTCAAACAATTGGCAGAAACAGGTGAGGTGGGTAATGCTAGGGTTAGGAGCGTCTCCTACAAAAATCCTGAACTTTCGGCTTCGCAATTCCACCAACTCCAAGGCCCAGATAGAATTAGAGAAAAACAGAGCCATCCAGGATGACAGCATCTGGAGCCCAACCAAATGGCCAACAAAAAAATGGCCCAAATTTACAAACATGCAACTGACGCAACATTGTCTCATTCATGTGTGTGTGTGCAGGAGAATAAAAATAGGAGTATATCTTTACAGTATATAGGTATCTAATACTTAAAATTTCTTATTTGTATTTAGATTTTCAATTGTATTTCATGTCTCTAAAAACATTTTGAAATATTTAATTAGTGTTTCGATCAAATTTTCTGACTATAAATTCCTTTACTAAAATGTTAAAAAAAAAAAAAAAAACCTTAAAATCGCATAACCTAAATATTACATTTTTAAATTTTTTAGATTTTTTTTTTTGTATTTTATAAAGAGGATTTCCATCAAATTAAATATTTCAAACATTTTTAAAGATAAATAAGATGTTAAAAAAAAAAAAAACATAAACACATACGGTAGATTTTGAGTATTATATTTCGTATATTTACTCCTATCTTTAGTTGTAAATGAATGTGTACCATAATCTACGATGGCAGAATTAAATCCATACTTACTCTGAAAAATTGAAGGTTACGTGTGCTTATCCAATAGTAAGGTTTTCGGTTATATGTGTGTGTATATATATATATATATATATATATATGCAAATCCACTATGTTTATAAACATCAACACTTCTTCTTTATGGAAAAAATTGTGTAGCCATACCAGGATACATAATGATGTCAAAATATTAGTTATGATTGAACCAGGATCTTAGATTCCTTGGGGGTTACCTTTTGCCACTTCAAAGCCATTAATGGGGGAAAAGAGCATGTTATCTCCAGTTGTTTATGGGAACTTTTAGACTGCAACAGAACACAAATAAGTTGATTTAAACAAAAGGGACAGAAATAGATCGTATGACAGTGGATCAATCAGACAGGTTTTGTTTGTGGGCAATCATAGAATGACAGGCTAGTTAACTGGATTAATCTAGGTCTGCCACATATCTCTGATGTGCCACAAAACATTCAAGTTACAGATCAGTATAGTATTGCTTACCTGCTTTCCAGCTCCACTATACACTTCTCCGGTCTCCTATTCTCCAGATTCGTTTTAGCAGAGAAATTGTATGTATCAATTTCTGTCTTTCTATCAGTAGATTCATTTTTTTTCTGTGTTTGTCAATACATATGTGCGTAAAGACCAATATAGTTTTGTTGGTTTTATGATGTTCTTCGAGAGATGCGGTGACCTTGAAGTAATGTCAGTGACATCTGAACTACAAGTTATCTAGTTTTTAAGGGTCTCATTTTCTTGTAGGACCCTTCAAACTTACCTTAGGAGTCATACCTGAAGCCTTATTGAAGTATGCTACTAGACCTAGGTACGTAGCTAGCTTTTACTTGTGTATATCCATCTATGTATCTGTGTTTGGAAGAGAAAGTAAACGAATTGAAAATTTCTTAGCTTTAAAGACAAGAGTGTTGATCCCCTCTTCAACACTCTTCTTGCATCATATCACAGTTTCTGCTACCCAGTAGAAAGACAGTCTTAGATGGTCATGCATATAAATGTGGTCCAAGGAAGAGGAGTGTGCAACACTTGGTTTGCTTACTCAATACTATGGATACCCACAAGAGGGTATTTGGGTTCAAGATCCTTTTTTTATTGTCCATTTCTGTTCTTCTTAATCAAAGTTCAAAATGCAGCAGCTTTGGTGTTATGGATGGTGATCAATTGGATGCAACAGTGGAGGAAGTAGACAATCATTTACCGTCTTCTAGCTCAAGTCAAGGGTAACCATAAGCAAGGACTGTATTTCATTTAAGTTTCTGTAGAATGTGATTGTTACATTTATCCTTTGATTATTCAAACTTTCAGGGTCTATGAGTTGAAGGACGTGGAGGAAGATGAATGGGAAATGGTGGCAAAGAAAGGAAATCAGTTTGTGATCAATGACCGGCCTTTCTATGTCAACGGATTTAACACATACTGGCTGATGGTGTTTGCTGCTGATCAATCTACAAGAGGAAAGGTCACTGAGGTTTTCCAACAAGCATCCTCAGTTGGTCTAACAGTTTGTAGAACTTGGGCTTTCAATGATGGTCAATGGAGAGCACTTCAGAAATCTCCTGGTGTTTATGATGAAGATGTTTTCAAGGTATTTTTACCTGCTTCTTAGTTCTTGGGCTTATAACAGAAGCAACCTCACTAGGCTACTGATATATAGCCAGGCTGCCAAAGTTATTTTACTTCGTAACTTTGTTTTGAGCTGCAGGCCTTGGATTTCGTGGTGAGTGAAGCAAAGAAACACAAGATCAGGCTCATATTATCATTGACCAACAATTGGGAAGCATATGGTGGAAAAGCACAATATGTTAAATGGGGAAAAGCTGCTGGCCTTAATTTGACATCTGATGATGATTTCTTCTCTCATCCAACTCTCAGAAGTTACTATAAGGCTCATGTCAAGGCAAGTTTCTTACCACTGCTCCAACCAACTATTTTTGCGCGTACTCTGACATCAAACTCAGAAGTTAATCCGATTGACAGTTGGTCTTACAATTTGTTTATTCATTCAATGCAGGCAGTACTGAATAGAGTCAATACAGTCACCAACATAACTTACAAGGATGACCCTACAATATTTGCTTGGGAACTGATGAATGAACCTCGATGCACCTCAGATCCCTCTGGTGATAAACTTCAGGTTTGTTGTTCTTCGACACTTGATTCTTCATCACAGCTATACAATATATCATGATAGCTGGCGGTGCTTTAAGGAGTAATTCTGTTTGTGCCATCATTTTCTGAAGCAACTGGATGTCTTTGTTTTTGTAGTCATGGATAACAACCATGGCAGTATATGTGAAGAGCATGGATGCAAAGCATTTGGTAGAGATTGGATTGGAGGGATTTTATGGTCCGTCAGCTCCTGATAGGGCTCAATTCAATCCGAATTCATATGCTACACAAGTTGGAACTGACTTTATCAGGAACCATCAGGTTCTTGGTGTTGATTTTGCTTCTGTTCACATTTATGCAGACTCCTGGTAAGTATTCACTGCATCAGCAATGACAAAAAAACTAAGGTTAAAATCTGCACTATTTCTTAGCACATCATTGTATGTATTATGGCCTATTTAAATTTAGATGCATAATCTTCTTTTCTCATTTAGGGTCTAAAAAAATAATTAAATCTTTGGATGAAGGATTTCACAAACAATTTCGGACGCTCATATCCAATTCATCAAGTCATGGATGGAAGCTCACATAGAGGACGCTGAGAAATATCTGGGAATGCCGGTTGTGTTCGCTGAGTTTGGTGTATCTTCAAAAGATCCTGGTTACAACTCATCATTCCGTGACACAGTAGTTAACACGGTGTACAAGACCCTCTTGAACTCAACCAGGATAGGTGGGAGTGGAGCTGGGAGCCTTCTGTGGCAGCTTTTCCCTGATGGGACAGACTACATGGATGATGGATATGCAATTGTTCTATCAAAATCTCCTTCCATATCAAACATCATTTCCCTCCATTCAACACGAGTCGCAATCTTCAATTCCATGTGTTCATGGAGATGCAAATGGGGCTGCAAGAAGAAGAATCCTCTAGAGGAATTCCTCTACCATGATGATTTGTAAAAGTACTCGATCAATCACAACAGAAAAAGACAGAAAAAGGAAGAACTACAGTGGTTATGATAGTACATCCTTGTTTTTGTACCTCCAAAAACGTTCATGTTGGTGGTATTAAATAAAGTAAGTGGCTTAAAGAAAGAAATATGTATTTCGCAAGCTGTTATTGTATTATCTGCCAAGCAATTTTATCTCTTCCACCCTGGTTTTTCCATTCAAACTGTCCATTACGAAGTTCTTTCTTGTCAATCTTTGTATTCGGTATCCTCTTCCTCAGATTCTGGTCACTGGTAACCAAAACATATTCTGGCTTTCATGCTGCAACATCAACAGCTTAAAAAAATTTATTAACTCAACAAACCAGTCTACAAGATAACATTCATCCATCTCTTCGGAGTCTAAACATGAAAAATATCAAGATTGTCTTCGTCTTCCACTCTTCCTAGGTTGGTTCACAGAGAGGCTTGGAAGAAGGATTCTGTATGGAATTGCTGATATTACCATGGGCACGTTGGCAGTGAACTCATCATATAGGAATACATGGGACTCCATAGTGGTTTGGCTGATGTTAATCAGGTTCTGGATTGGATTCGGTACTGGATACAGACCACCCTCTTTCCGCAGCACCGGACTTTTCATCACCGGTTGCACCATGCTGGGGCTATTATCGGCACCTTATGCTCAGTTTTTATAGTCACAATTGCTTCTAAGATGTTCTTTAGGCTCAAAGATTAATGTATATCCTCGCCTTTGATCAATCTTAATAGTCGAGGAGGCAGTTGTGCACATATAGAGATAGTTAAGTAGCTTTTATTGATGGTTGTTTCCAGCCTTAGAAAAGTTACATATAAACCATTATAAATTAATCGAGCAAATAATTCATTTGATTTAGCACACAATTTCTCAGAAAAATAGCTTAATACGTGTGTTCTTATATGTTTGCAAATTGTCCCCGATATGACCCTATATGTTCTAATCACATCTATTATCGCCAGTTAATACAATGCAATAGCGCAGGCTGGTTTAAGTTCTGCATAAATCAAAAACCAGAAGTTCTGCATAAATCGGTTTTGGGAGTAAATGAGGCATAAAAAAGGCCTTTGCCTTAATCTTAAAGGATCTGCTTTTCTAGTTCAACTTCTTAAACATCATATGAAGGAAGACATTCTATATTTTGTCACAATCTTTCCCCATCACTGATTATAATTGCCGTGAAGCAGAAATCATATCACCTGTTGATCCTTGTTCAGTTCCTTCTCCGTGACCGGATGAACGCCAAGGGTGCTTCTAGTTCCCATAGGTTCAAATGATTGATTCGATGCTCATCGGTATTTGATTTTTTCACTCAAGGAGGGTACGGTAGGCCTTGTGCATAAATTGATGTTTACTTCAGAATTGATGGTTGAAATGGAATTCATAAGCCAATAAAATTACAAAAGACCAGAAGATTAGCAGAAACTGAAATGTGCAATTTTGTTGAGACTTCTATCATGCAAGGAGAGCAATGTAACGATTTGAGACAAATCCACAGGGTCTGAAAGGAAGAAAAACCAGAGGTAAATTGTTTCTGGGTTTTAGGAGACCCAAGGAAAACCTTCAATCAACATCAAGACAAATGGATGATTAACAACACATCACCAATTTTTAAATTCATTGATTAGTTGAAATTTTCATGCTGAATGGTTTACCAAGTACCATCAATCAAAGAGGCCCCAGTGCTGTATATGACAGGCCTGGTATTCGACATGTTATGCTTTGAGAATTACTGATGCCAGGAACAAGGAAATGAAACTCGAAAATAAGAGAGCAAAATATGGACTCACATCACCAAGAAGGTATCTATTTGGTTAACCTAAACTTTGAAATCACTGCAGCTGCCTGATCACCCCCCAACAAGAAATAAGGATGCCTTAGAGAAGCAGCTGCTGATAAGCGTCCCCTTCCAAGATAACCTCTCTCTGAAACCAGTTTTGTAGCTAGATCCCACCCTCTACCAGAGTCAAGTTCAAGAATTGTCAAGTCAGGCCTCAATCGAGTAATCTCCCTCCATTTATTCAAATCATATCTAGCTTTCTTTATTTCTGTATTGAAATTCTTTAAGCCTGATACAGGCCTTAAGCTTGGTATTGCCATTTGCAGGAGAACAATCCCAGCAGAGTACGTATCAAATAGATCAGGACTGTTTAACTGCACCAATAGTTGCAAATTTCATCTCAGCATACTAGAAAACTTCGGTTAAAAGACTAAGCAAGCAAACATGGAAAAAGTGAACATATAAAGCCCAGTTAACAGATCAGATTAGAATCCGAACAGCATTCAATAAATATACAAGCACATGTTAAAGCAATTTCATAAAGCCTGTCAACAGATCAGATTAGAATCTGAACAACTTTGATACATTGAAACCCAATGGGTTTTTTAACATTGTCAATTGATAGCATTCACCGTTAGTTTTGATTTCAATGTACTTGCAAAAGATTGTGAAAAGTCGATACATTCGGTTTCACATGTAGAGAGGAGATTGGATGGTACAGTACCTGCCATATAACTGGAGAAAGAAGAGCAGCAACCGGCTCAGGTGGAGGACTTGGTGTCTCCTCTGGGAGCACAAATAGTTCAGGTGGACAATAATCTGGATCAAGCAGACTTTGGTCAGGTATGTAGTTCTTGCCAATTCGGAGGTCCGCGGCTGCCCCAAAATCTATGAGCTTAATCTGTCCCTTTTTTGTCACCACTAAGTTGGCTGGCTTTACGTCCCTGTGAACAATGCCAGTATCATGGATTTTCTTAAGTGAAGTAAAAATCTGGCGCATTATTTGCTTGATGATCAATGCACTTCGTTTAACAGAATCAACTCCTTGCAGAACACGCCCAAACATAACAGGCTCTAAGTTAAAAGGGAAGTTACGACCTTTCATGTAATCACCAAGGGTTCGATCTCCCTGTCAGACGAAAAACCCGACAATTAGTGCATGGGACAGTTATTGCATCATCAAATGAACCAGAACCATAAACAAATCATTATGCATTGAGATTGAATAGATGAAGCTTAGTGAATCAGGAAATATTAAACAATTGCTTCTGCAAAAGTCCATTGGTATTTGAATATTAACACCATTCAAACTCATGTAAAGAACTTGCAACATATGAGGGAAGTTGACTATAGAAAAAGATTTTTGTGTTTCGAAGTTCTTGGAAGATTTCCAGCTGGGTGAGTACCTCGAATTTCCAAACAAGCCATTTTCCCCCTTTGTGAATTGGGAACTTGTTGTATCAGAAACAAAACTTCCGAGGAACTTAGCACACGTTTCAGGAGCTGCTCTTGACAGCCTATAATTAAACCACTCTTCAACTTCGCCGAATCGTTCTGCCCCTGTGATTCCAACCTTCACCTGCAATTCCCATTAATATGACCACCACATCCATACATTTCAGAAACGAATAACAAAAATTGAGAATCCATATACAAGGAGAAGACCTGGTATACGAGCAAGGACTACAGTTTCTGCCTTAAGAATTAAAATTCTTTTAATCTTCTAAGAATGTATATCAATGACAGAGAAGAGAAAGCAGTTGTATTTGTATATTTGCATTCAGTTAAATAAAGAAAAGAAGAGAGTTACCTTTTTTAGTATGACCTTTTCTTTGAACTTCTCATTCAACTGTAATGCTCTTCCAGTTCCCCTCTTGGGCAACTTCTCTACAGTTGCGTTCCTTGGAACAACCACCCCAGAATAAACAACACCAAAAGAACCTTCTCCCAATTTATCGCCAACCAGAAAATCACTACTCTTCAAGTTCCTCCTTCCAGTCAAACTGTCCAAACCAAGTTGCAAAGGAGCCAGAAGGTATGCATCAATGGCACCAATGAGAACACCAGGCCTTGCAGTTAAGTAAATCCATGCCGCCCCTGCAAAAATCAGAAGACCCCATTTCTGCGTATCTGACAGTTCCTCAGTAACACTCTGAAATTGCACCAACCCAGATTGAAAAGCTGGGAATTGATCCAGTTGAAGAGCGTTCTCCAATAATTCATCTGGGATGTTGCCAAAATATGCTTTACACCTGCCTGAGTTACTTCTCAAACGGCTAGTGAAAGGAGATTTATCATGATGCAAAGTAGGCTTGAAAGCAGAAAAGCAAATAATTTTAGGATTCTGCTGAAGTGCAGGTGTCATGGGAGATATCAGAGAAGCCATGCTGCTTCTTCAGAGAAGAGTGAGCTCTAATATTGTGAGCTCAGGCTCAGTCTCCCAAGAAATCAAGTTCATGTCAGCAAAGGCTGATCTTTTGCCACATGCCATACACAAATTTATCCACAGAGAAGGAAATTCGTGGACAAAGATAAAGCATCATGTTCCTGCCAAGTACCTTCAACACAAGCTAATAACGGGCCTAAGGTTTTGTTTAGCTGCCTTCATTTCGCTGAATAAGACAATTTTGGGCTTACCCATGAAGGGAGGATAAACTCATAAACTTGGTGGGGGCAAACGCACCCTTTTCACAGTATAAAATCCCCCTCTATTTTGTTTTTCAGTCCACATGAATAAAATATATTAAAAAGCAAACGGGACCTTTAATTTAGCTTGGGAAAAAAAAAAAAAAAAACCTTTAGAGCGTGCTAGGAACCCTAGCATTAGCTATTCAAATTTCTCATTCAACGTAATTTAGAGGTGAGAGAACATCCACATACCATAGAAGAGTTAAAAATTCAAAAAGACTGAAGATACTAGAGAAAATAATCCAGCCAGTATGCCTTTCGGCTTCTGCATAAGAAATGCCTTCTGTCCATAGGCAAAGCTTTCTTTGCAGCTACAACTCAAAATGATACCTCGACACTTGCTAAATAAACCACTTCAAACTCAAGAACACATAATCTTAGGAGATAAATAAAGCAGTGATCCGATGTATGCCATGCTAGTATAAGGGGCTGCTTTGTTGAAGGAAAGAGGCCACAGGCCTTACATAAGTGAAGTTCACGAAGGGATTCGTGTTCATCTTGGGGCTGGCAGCTGGAGAATCTGACAACGTCATGTCAGTCCAACACTTGTCAAAGTTAGCAATGCAGTGCTTCCCAGCCACTTCTGGACGGAAACTGGGTTGGATCTCCCTTGCATCCAATTTCTTCCAATTGATTGGCTTGAACCACTTGTATCGCTTAATTTCTTCACTTCCCAAAGGTCCATTTCCTAAGCGCTTGCTGGCATCCTTGTTTAAGAGCTAAAACAAAATCAAACAAGTTCTCTTAGCTCTTTTATTTAGTAATGAACATCATGAATAGTACCTCTCACGCCATCCCAACTGTCCTCCATCCCCCAAACCAAAACTAAACACCGACTCAAGGCTGGTATTATCGTAAGATTTCCAAATCAAAAACTGGGTGTTATTAAAATCAGGACAAAAATAAAGAAAAACAAAGTGCCAGAACCAACACTTGCTTCTTTTCTTGTTTTTATCTTTTCATTTTATTCCATTCATTTCTTTTATTTTTTAGCAAATCAAACCAACACTAAAACACTGTTCAATACAAATAGAAGATGGGCTATAAATTTACCCCTTTCAAAAGAGAGTGTGCTTCACTTGTCAAGAATGATGGCAGCTTGACCTTATCCTTGACTATCTTCTGTTGAATTTTGTCTCTGTTCCCACCAATAAAAGGAGGCTGCACGAGCAAAAGACGAGACGAAAAAAATAATAATTAGGCACCATTACCTGCTGTAATTATTATTGAAAGGCTTGGCAGCCCTCACAGATACATATGTTCATACTTCATATCAACAAGGAATAAGCAGAAAGATTAGGAGAAAACATGGATTATCCCCTGTAGCCAACATATGCATAATATACACATGATAGCATACACCTTTCACCATTGCATTGCATGCATTTTTTCAATATCTTATGTTTTTCAAACAACATCCAAAACTTGGCATCTGAACTACCAAAATTCCATTAATTACCTTGGGCACAGCCAAACAAAGAAAATGCTTTGCAAGCAAATGTGCACACAAGGAGATACCATGATAATAATTTCAACAAATTCAGCAAGCATCTGAGTGACAAGCTTATGCAAGAATCAGGAAAGGAGGATACATAGGAACTAGTGAAGAAAGCCAACCTTGCCAGTGAGCATCTCATACAATAGAATTCCTACACTCCACCAATCTGCTGCCTTATCATGGCCCCTTCCCTGAACAATTTCTGGTGCCATATATTCAACTGTTCCACACATTGAGTTTGATCTTGTATTTTCGTCGAATTGCTTTGCCAGGCCAAAATCAGTCAACATTACCTAAACAAAAGATTGTATAAAACATTACAATTATTTTTTTTTTAGAAATGAATGTATGAGTGACTGTGTGAGCACATGCACGGTGGGAGAGAGATAGATTACATGGCCATCTGAATCCAGCAGGATATTTTCTGGTTTAAGGTCCCTGTGCATTATGCCATTTGCATGAAGATGACAAACAGCAGAAACAATCTCAGCAGCATATATACGTGCCAGATCCTCCCTGAAATAGAATAGCCACATGTTAATAAGTGTATCAATCTACTTCAAGCTTTCAGCAAAAAGTATCCAAACCAAAGAGATTGAGATTATAGATACCTGAAAAGGCCATGGTTATAGAGCTGGAAAAAGAGGTGACCCCCATTTATGAAATCCAACACGAGGTATAGTCTATATTTGGTCTGCATTTCATCAACAGCCCAAATTTAATGATCAGTAATGCCAATGGAAAAAAGAAGAAATGCAAAAATAGATAGTCTATACGTAAAATTCTACTGTCTGAAAAGATTTTCACGGAAATGTAATTCCTCAAAAAAAAAAAAAAAAATATATATATATATATATATATATATATATATCTTTCACTTCAGAAGGATGAATGCATGTTAGAACAATAGAAAATCAATGCAGTAATTAGACGATCAGATGAATAATTACTTGGAAGGAGTATTTGAGCTGGACAATGAAGGGATGATCAATTTTTGTTAGAATGTCCCTTTCACCTCTCATGTATTCGACATGATTCTTCTCCACTACTCTGTCCTTCCGCATGACCTTCATTGCATATATTTCTGGTGTACCCTTTTTCCTCACCTGATAAACTTTCCCAAATGCACCCTGCCCAACAACCTTCAAAACCTCAAAATCTTCAATGCCTACAGTTTGGACCTTCAAAGCATCTCCACTGACATTCTCCACATCTCTCTCAATGGCATCGTCATCATCTATGGAAGACTCCTCTAGCTCTTTAATAGTCTCATCCAGGACACTCTCCACTAGTTCCATTGAATCTTCCGTCTCATGTAAATTAAGCTTGCTGAGCTTCAATGATTGGCTAACATAAGAAGAGGGGCCAACCAATGAATGTGACCGGTTGTGAATGACAACAGGGTCATCATAAATAAGCTCACTGACATCTCCCACAGACAGACGATCACCACAATTCACATCTATGGCCGGCAAAGGACCAAACACATCAGTGAAATCAAGTTCAACGTGATCTGAAACTACAGTATCCGAGGGATTGACAGGAAACAACAACCGGTTCTTGGTCAAAACAGGAAATTGAGATGAAACCATTTTGCAAATATGCCAAATATCACTATGAAGCCAACTGCAGATGACCCAAATCTATCACTCCTACAGATGCCAAATGCAGAAGGCCAAATCTATAATAGCTAATGAATGATTTCTCCACAAGTATCCAAGACATGAACTACTGGGGGACACCTATCAATGGCCTTAATCAAAAGGAAGTTGACGTATGCAATAGGAGTCCCAAGAAACTTTGGCAATAGGCAAAATAGAATCCAGAAGAAAAAGTTGTTCTTGTTTCCTGATTTGCAGGAAACGGTTGATGCTCCAGCGGTACTAGAATTCATGAAGATCAGTCCGTCAAATCTGCAAAATTCAACACAACAATGCCAAAATACCCATGATTCACCATCATATCTAGAAAATAATCCAAATTTAAATTGAGGGTTTGTTAACAGATCAAGTAGACAAAATTAATAAGTCAAAACAAGAAGCTTAAAAACAGAACTTCATGCAAACTTCAATCATATCCACCCAATTGTTCAAATATTAATTTCTCTTCATTAAAAAACAAAAAAAACAAAAAAAAAAAAACCCAGAATAGAATCTCTATAAACTAATATAAAATTAATGAAGTGAAACAAAAGGTAAATTCCTCTACGATTAATACTTCAAATCTTTTCCAAACCGGATCAGGTAACAAATTTTAAGACATAGAAAGGCTGCATCTTCCGTACCAAATCAGAAAAAGAAAACCCAGATTTAAATTCTGGAATAGAATTGAAATAAACCAAATGACCAGCCCATTTTAGATCCAAAACAACAAAATTTTAAGCACATTTCGAATTAAAAATCTGCATATTTTCATACTAATTCAAATATTATTTTCACTAAAACACAAATCAAACAAATCCCAAAATTCAAACTCAACCACCCACCCAAAAAATAAAGAAAAAACACTAACTTTAACAGCAAATCAACAGCGGCAGCAGAAACAGAATCACAGAATCCTCAAAAACTCCCATGAAATTAATAAAATAATCAATAACTCAAGAAAATCTTAAAACTTCAAATTAAAAGGTTAAAAAGATAAAAAGAGAGGGTTTTCATTACCTGAGGAGGATGCGGAGGGAAACGGAAAAATTTGGAGGATTTAAAAAGGCCTTTTTTTTTTTTAAGGAGCGAGAGCTCTCGGGGAGAAAGCGTGAGGCTGCACTTATTTTTTTAATATTTATACAGGTGTGCGATAAATTTTTACGTGAATGGTTTGTTGTCTCGAAAGTGGTGACGGTGATGCTCATTTTTTGACGGCTGATACGTGGCGCTCTTTCAGTGGATGAAAGGGTTAGCAACGAATTTGACCGGGCTTTTGGATTTGGGAATATGCTTTTTGGATCACAAGCTACGTTACTCTATCCATCTATCTTAATAAAAACAAACTATTATCCCGACAATTTAACTAATTTTACTTTTTACGTACACAAAGTTTAATTTAAAAAAATAATAATAATTTGTTGCTGAATTCGTGTCTATACTATCCATTTTCCTTGAGAGGTCTATAAATTTGGATCTCTTCTCTTAATAATGAAAGGAATTTTTTTTTCTTTCTTTTTTAGGAGTAACTAGAGATAATTTTTTAAGGTTTCTAAATCAATCATAGAAAAAAAAATTGAATAAAATAGTTCTAAAAGTTCTGAAACTTCACTTTCAAAATGGTAATGTTCATTTATTGAAGATATAAATTAATAGATTTCGATTTATATGTAAAAATAAGTATTTTACATATGAGAAGTCGTACAAACTTTATATATAATTTTGTTAAACTTTGACAAATAACGATTGATTTCACTGATATAAAAAATGAATTAAGTATTCACAGTGTGTTAAATAAATTTAATGAATCAATTATTATTAATGTGCTAAGCAAATTTGTATTTGTAAATTATTTTTTTCGTTAAATTCTTGTTAACCTAACCAATATATAATGGGTTTACTTCATAATTGGTTTCTGTATAGTTTCAATTTTTTTTATTAGGACCCTATATAATTTTTCAGTTTGATTAAAATCCTCAACTCTTACAAATTTGTTAATTAAGACATTTCGTTATAACATAATTAACTATTCATCCTACATGATAAATTTAAACTAACGGTAATTAATCAGATAATGATACATGACAATGTAAGCGCTAATCGTTTTAGAATAAATCAAAATCAAAATATAAAATTTTTAAAAATAATTTTGTAAATTAAAGAACATTAGTTAAATATAAAAAAATAAAATGAAAAAGGTTTTATTAACCCAACCCTTTTAATCCTATGACCCTTTTAATAATCCGAACGCAACAGTGGATGAGTTTGGAAATGTTATAAACTTCAACAATAACAATTAGAGTCACTGAGACTTGGTTACAAAAAATGAAAAGATCCCCACGTCTAGGAACTGAAGAAACCAACGATAATCCCTTAGACTTGTATTACTTTCCTATCATCCTTGTTATACTTCTCATTTGTCAGTGCTTGATTCAAAATCCTTGACCACCCACAAGATAAGCCTCCGCTGTTTCTTAGCAGGGCAGCAACAGTACTGGTCTGGAATCGGAGATCGGTCTTGAACTCTTGGGCAATTTCTCTCACAAGTCTTTGGAATGAAAGCTTGCGGATCAAAAGCCCAGTACTCTTCTACGACCTCCTGATTTCTCTCAAAGCCACAGTTCCTGCCCTGAAACGATGGGTTTATTCACATCTTCGGTGGCTGGGGCAGGTTTGCGAGCTCCCTTTGTTGCTAACTGCTTGTGAGAGGCTTTGCCTCCCGTGGATTTTCTTGCAGGCTGCTTGGTGCAGGCCATTGCTGATCGAATTGAAAGGGACTTGAAACTAAAATATATGATAATTTGTTTTTGCTTTTGTTTAATGAGAGAATGATGTTTCGGTCTTGTTCCTTCAATTCATAGAAACACAACTTATTTTCCTAATATGTAGGGTATTTTTATTTTTATTATAATAAACTAAAACTTTGTTAATATATAATTTTAAAAAAATTTATAAGTTTTTAGTTTCAGAATTATTATTTTGACAATTAGGATTTACGTTTCTAAGTGTCGATTTTTGATTGGCTATTATCATTTTTAAAATGTCACGTCGAATTCATAGTTAACGAAGGTTTCAATCAATAAATTTATAAAAATAAAAAATTTTAATCAAACAGAAAAATAATAAAAGATTTCAATTAAAAAAAATTAAAAATGTACAGAGATATACAAAGATTAATTATGAAGTAAACCCAATATATAATCAACAAGACAACCAATTACTTGAAATATATTCTTAATACATCCTTATTTGATTACGAAGCATTTAAAACATTCATGTTATTTGAACTAGTTTATAATCTATATTTCTAATCAAAATATATAACTAGTTCATCATAATATAATCTTTATATTAGTAGATATAAATCATTTATGTTAAAAATAAAAATAATTTTATCAAATCATATATTATATATAAATTACATATTTAATTTGACTAAATTTTTAACTAAAATGATAAATTAGAAATCAGCTTAAATAATAAAAACATATGTATATTAGATGCGTTTTTAAATTCAAGAACAGATTAAAAATTTAGTTTATTATAAAAATAAATGAGAATATTAATCAAAATAAATAGTGTATGTTTTCACCTGCTTATTAAGTGAGATAGTACAATTATGATATAAGACTCAAAAAGTAAAACTAATCTAAAATTACAGGGGGCTTGCCATCCCTTTTGCTCTTTTCTGCAAAATTTTCTAACCAAACACCAATTTCTCGAGAAAATTCAACTGCAAAATTCTAAGTTCCATTCTAGCTCTCCTCTCCCCTTCTCTCTCCATCCTTAGCAAATCTTCACCTCCAAACACACCTTCCCATTCCCAAATTTTCCATCCCACCAACGACAGGATTAGGGATTTTTAGTGGAGCAACAGTCCTCGTCTTCTCAAGCCTCAGAAACCAAGCCTTTAGTCAAGCCAGTGTCTATATAACCGCCCGAGCCGCATACATTGCAAGTACTTCGTCAATATTAGGAACACCTTCAACTATGATCTCACCATGCCCTATTGGGACAATGGAGATGAAATTCAATTGCTCAAGCTCAACTTGCAAGGTAGATCTAACAATGATGTTTGCTGGTTCAATCCCAAAAGTATGTTCCATGGGGAAAACTCCATGCTTGTTTCCAATAATCTCCTATTCTCTTGAGTGTACGAAATGACAGGTTCAGAGTTGACGCCGAGACTCTTAATCTTGTACGCATTCCCATCTTTACTACTGTATTCATTGGCCACCATAGCCTGAGATGATGCAAGATTTGAACCCAGCTGATTATCTAAAACAAGCCAGCCTTACGGCTGGTGTGGTCGGGGCTTGTTGGTTGCTGGCGGATTGGATGGATTTTGGAGCTAAGGAGATCGGCGACGGGTCGGTGGTCGGGATTTGTAGGGATGAGAACATTTTGGGTTTTGTAATGAAAGGGTCAGGAATTTTTAGGAATTCAATTAATTGGGATTGTGGTTGATTGAGATGAGTTTATTTCGTTGGGTTTTGTGCTGCTTAACATGTAGTTTATTTGGAGAGTAAATTTGTCGTATAAACCACGTGAATCGTAAGTTTAATTTTACGTATGATTTCATCTTATCGATTACGTCAAGCCACGTTAATTGAAAAAAAAAATAAATTAAAAAATAAATATGTATTAATATAGTTACTGAAAACTTAATTTATGTATATTTTATCTATTTTAAAAAAATATATCAAAATAATTAAAATATGTTAATTTCATGATTTTATAGTAAAATAAACCTATTTTTTATTTGTATTTGTATAAGTATTATTAGTTATTATTTGGAGTATTTTACAAATTTTCATATCAATCTTGCAAGTAGTGATTTTTTTTTTCTATTGTCAATAGCGTCCTTTGATACTGTCACTTTTTCTTTTTTTCTATAATTATTTGTTTTATTTTAGTTATTGAATGATGATCAAACACAATATCATTTTTCAGGTAAAAAAAAAAAATTCTAAAACCGCATTTGCATTTTATGATGTGCTTTTATTGAGGTTGATAGGCAGATTTAGACCCTTATAACATATATTTTTTAACTCAATTTTGAATGCATCATGTTGATATGAAGATGTATTTTTAAAATCATTAAAAAATATAGTTTTAATTAATACCTAAACTGGTTCAAAAACATGTCTTACCCTTGAAAAAAAACAATAATATTTGGAATTTTGATGTTAATCAAATATTAAATTTGAATTGTCCATAATATAGATGAGAAGTTCATTTAACTATCTTTGATATGGTACGTTTGTATATAAATAATTTCAAAGTACGAGATGCAAGAACAAATACTTATCATTATCTTTGATACAATGCTTTTGGGTATATTATGGTTTCATAATAGGAGATGTGAGAATAAACACTTATCATTCTGAGAAAAAAAAAAAAAAAAGAAAAAAGAAGCAACTACTTAGGAATTCGATTTTTACTAGTGAAATCAAACATATATTTGAAAAGTTTGTAAATACTAAATTCTTATACTACTATTAATTCTATACGATAAATACATATGATTTTAACATAAATTTATCTGATTGTAGTCGTAATTCAATTGTTCAATCTTCGTATCAAAATAAATCTTCTAGTAATTACTAAGGTCAATAATTAATTTTAATTTCATTAAAAAAATTAATTTTAGCTCACTTCTTTTCTTTTCCTAAAAAAAGAAAAATTGCTTTCCTTTGCTTATGTACGTGAGTAAATTATAAATGAGTACATTTTATTTTAAAAAACGAATTAATTAGTTTTTTTAAAATTAATTATTTAACTGATTTCGTCAATAACTTAACCATTTTATGAGTTTTCATGTAGATTAATGATTTTTTTTCTAAATTGTCTTTTTTATGCCTAATTTATCTTATACATTCATTTTTTCTCTCTTTAATGAAATTAAATAAAAAAATTAATTTAAAAATAAAAATTATTAATTTAATAAAAAATCGATGAAGTAATTAAATTATTGACGAAATTAATATATGAAAGATTAAGTGATTAGTGTTTTTTTTTTAAAAAAAAAATTAATTCTTTAGTTTAAACAAGAGGGACTAATTTATAATTTACTCTTATGAATGCAGGCCAAGTGGGTGCCAGTGTCATCCAAAAGCTATATTAGCAGTCTTGATCTTGACAGCAAGATTGGCTCTCTAATCCTAAGCCAGTGCCCAGCACCATGTGTGATTGCCTTCCCTCCACCCCTCTTCCTTTTTCCATCGTCAAACCTCAAAAATTAACACAACAACCTTCTTCATCTGTTAACATTTTAAGTTTTAAAAGAAATAGAAGGTTAAAGTTTACAAGCACAAAAGCTAGCAAGAATCCTAGTGAACTGGGGTTTAAAGAAAAAGAGAACAACTTTGAATTAGAATCATCAAGAATTCAGAAGGATCTAGAGTCAGAATTGGGTTCTTTTGATTTTGATATTCTTGAATTGAAAGATGGTGAAAGGAAGGGAAAGGAGAAGCAAGATTTGGCTGCAGTTGAAGATGGAACCAAGGTTGAGAAGGAGAGAAAGCAGACAAGAAACGGAAGGAGAGGGAAGCAAGTGATTAAAAGGTCGAGTATTTTGGCAAAGCAAGTGATTAGCATTCAATCTGCACTTAGTTTGGGTTTTGTTTCTCAAATTTGGGTTGACGCTAAATCTGTAAGTTCATTAGTCTTGCACTCCTCTTTTTTTTTTTTTTTAATAAAATGATGATGTTTTTTTTTTAATCAAATTAATGCTGTTATTCATAACTTGTCTAAGGTTGAAAATGGATGACACTAATCGAGCAAAAATCATGCCTGCTATCCTGGTTAAAACAAATATTAATAACTGTTTTCTGCTTAGAAGATATTAGCTTGAGATTAGCAAGAGAATGAAACTGACACCCTAGGTTTTTAATAGTTAGTTTGAATGAAGTTTGAGTTTTGTGTCTTGCCCAAGTTGAAATCTTATGAACTGTTTTAATTTTGATGTGAAAGAAGAAGACATAAAATTGTTGACAAGAAGTGTAGTAGGATTCGTTTCTCATCGCGCGAACATTCTTACTTTGCTCGGGAGATTCGTACCAGAAAAAGTTATCTGATGCTGTGCTAGACTGATGGGTGGTAACATGTTGTTGTTGACTTTTGATTCTAAAGAGGTTATAGTTTGCATGATCCAAGGAGCTAAAAGTTTGGTTCTCTGAAATCTTTGATTCAGTTAGGCAATCCGAATCCATTAACGTTATCGCTAAGGGATATATGTGGCTGTCATGGGGGTTAATTGCACTTGTGGAATGCTGATTTGTTTCTCAAATATTGGTTATCTTGTTGGGAGGTTCCATTGTTTGGATGACCGGACAAGGAGATCCTCTTTTGACATTATCCTTTTTTGATCAAGCTTGTTATCAACCAAACTTCTCGTGTATCTTTGACAAGCACATCAGATGATGATGAAGATTTGCAACCCTCCTCTGCTAGTCCAAGGATCCTGATGACGTGACCTTCTTTAATGAGCTGGCAAATCCTAATTTGCTGCTTCCATATTCTCAATGACCATAAAGTGAACGAAGTGTTAATGGACTGGCCCATGAATGATCAGTATGTTCTTCCCAGGACAGAAAGGACTATTCTGTTGAAGGAGGTTTGTTGATTTTCCTAGTGGCATGTTCCCTAGCTCAAGATATCCAGAGCGCTGTAAGGAGGTGGTAACATCAACCCTCCCAAGAAGCATGTTAATTCTGGGGGCTGGGTTGAACTTGAAATGGGATTGTGAAATAACTGCAATGCCCGTTATCTTGGAGTTTTTTGAAGTCTGCAACTGATCTGAAGCCAATTGAAACCCAGGAACTCGAGGCCAATTCCCTTAACTGCTGTTCGAAGCTCTCCATGAATCAATCAATTAACTCTGATCCTGAGATTAACACGCTCCTTTCTGATTTTTGTGTTGTCGGAAAAAGGTAAACAGAGGCTACTAAAGCTAGAAAAGTCTGCAGAGCGAAATATGCAAGAGCCAACTAACTCTCCATTCAAGTCAAAAGGTAGAAGAAACCGAAGAAAACAAGCAGTAGTGGCAACTTAATCTATACCGAGGATGCCGATTCCTTGATGGGCTCTGATTCCTATGCTTCAGACACAGATGATTGTAAATGAGGTAGAGCTCCTTCTGGTAATTCTCCTGGTAAACTCTCTCGAGAAAACACAGAGGATTCTATCTCAATTGAGGCTGTAGAAACTTGGATATCCTTTTGGATTGTGGTAACACAGATATCATTTGGGAAATAATCAAGCTTCAGGTTCTGTGAATTTGCTATCTGATTATTCGAGGCTCTCTCGTTGGTGCTTAGTCCATTATCTGCTGCTGTACTTTGCCCTTATGTTATTTCTTTGATGTTGTTACGTGACTTTTGCTGCTGCTGTGTTGTTCTGATGTCTTGGTCATTTTCCTGTTGTTCTCCCTCATCCCCATTCTGCTTTTTCTGTGTTACGGTGCTGCAATTTCTGTTGTGGTTGTGTTGCTTTGGCTGTTTCTCTGCCTTCTCTGCTGCTCATTTTCATAGCTGGTTGTCCAGATTGGTTTTCTTCTCCAATGTTCCTGTTTTATCTTTTTTCTTTCCTTAGTTGATGTTATTCTCCATCTATAAGTCACGTACTCTTTGAGCTGAAGCTTTTTTCACTTGCTCTTCATTAATATTTTCTCGTTTTATTAATATTTGATTTAATCACTTTGATGTATAGCATCTGGGTGGCTTCATAGTTAACTGTGGAGTTTATATCCGGTTTTAAAAATTTTGATTTTTTTTTTTTTGTTCAGTGGGTGGTGTTAGTTGTTGAAGTAAGGCCAAACTTGCTTTCTGGAGAATCAGAGAGGTTTCTTCTAGAGGACGTTAGCCAGGTAAATTTTTTCCATCTCTATGACTTTCTTAGCAAATTGGCACCATAGGATGTTAGCCACTACATGATATTTAATCACTCTTGAAAAGAAGTTGTTTTATTTAACTAATTTGATGGATCGTCACTGACCCCACCTTCGTAATAACCTCCTTTGCTGCTGTCATAGATCATCATTCTGTCTAATGGTTTTTGTGGATTGCAATGTTAATCTTAGCAGGTTGGGGATGTAGTACTTGTTGAGGATGAGAATGTGATGGATAATGAATTAAAAATGATTGGCCTGGAAACGTTGGTATGTGTCACTGTTCACTGGTGTACTTATATTTCTGTGCGCCCATGCACATTTGTTTTTATTATGTAATGAACTGTGACCAAAAAAGGGTTCTCGTGTCATGAATATTTTATCACTTTGTACCACTTTCTGAGTTCTGGTTTGAGTAGTTCGTTAAAGAATGAAATTTTCATTCAAAAAGGTGAGCTTTTTTGTCCTAGGCCAAACACCTTTCTGCCTTTCTCTGTTTCCAGTTTTTCTTCCAGGGTACCTAGTATTCCTATTGTTCAGTTGATTTGATATTGGCGTTTTACTTTTTGAGAGATTAACTTTTGATGCTTGTTAGGTAGGATATAGAGTTGTGACACCAGGTCAACGAGACATTGGAAAGGTCAGTGCTATATTCATTAAGTCCTGTAGTTTCTCTCGATATTCAATTTCCTTGTTCTCATTTGCAAATTTTTAGGTGCGAGGGTACTCTTTCAACATTAATTCTGGGGCAGTGGAGTCACTTGAGCTTGATTCATTTGGGATTTCGATCATTCCGTCTAGTTTGGTTGGTTGACCTGCCCTTTTTTCTGTTGAATAGAGCACCTGCAACAATATCTTGCTATGTAGCACTTGCATAAACACTTATCATTCATCTGCTATAAAGATTTAATTGACAGTTTTCATTATGAAAGAGGACTACAGCTCAAATGCTAATCATTTTGTTATACCTTCAGGTGAGTACCTATGCTTTACGTGTTGAGGATGTGCTTGAAGTTTTATCAGACACAGTTGTTGTGCATGAGTCTGCTGCCTCACACATACAGAGGCTAACAAAGGTATCCCATTATGGATAATTATTTAACTCAAATCTTGCTTTGGGTTTAACATTATAGATTTATTTGGATGTCAAGAAATATCTTATTTTCAGTCAAGTTGCCTTATAAGAGAACTTTTTGTACGCTGAACATTTTCCCTTCTCTTCAGTAGTGTAGCAATGCTTGAAGGCTGTTCTCCCTTGTATACAAATATGAAATGTTTGAGTATCTATGTCCACACGTGAGTTTGCACACAATATAGATGCCTGCTTGAAAGCACAGAATTTGATGCAATACACTGAGGCTTACCGATGTTTGTTCTAAACAATTATTGTTCTTGAGAACAGTTGAAAACTCATTAAGTGAACCAATCCTGCACTACACGTCTGATGTTATCCTTTTCTAGTCGAAACTTAGTACTGGTTTGAAACTCTTCTCCTTTGTGATTTGAACCAGGCTAGATATCCGAAAATTTAAGTTAAATTTTGGTTTTGCGAACTCCATCCATAGAGAAGCTAATATCCACTCACATGCCCTGTTTTTTAATTGTAGGAAGTTGAATGCTTTCCATCATTTTGATTGATATGACGATACTGTAGGCTAACATAGTATGCTTTCATACTAGGGTTTCTGGGATGCTCAGAATGTGGGGATAAAAATAGATGATGGCGAAGAGTATGCTGATTATGAAAGTTCTGTTACATCTCATCGTGATCAAAGCACACGAAGAAGTTCTAGAAGCAGGAAATTTCGTCCAAAAATAAGAGAAAGGGAGGATGATTGGGAACTCCCAATGGATTACTTGTGATATTTCAGTATTTTGATGCTTCTCCGAACATGTATATACTCCATTGTAGGGCAGCACGTTACATTTCCTCCACAAGTCTCATGTCCTCTTTTGTTCTCTCCTTTCCCAAGATTAAAATGAACTATCAAGACACGCAGGGTAGTTAATTTTGGATGAAGACTCTTGGCGATTGAGGTCTTTTGTAGGACTACCAGCCCACCATGTGCGAGAGCTTGTCTCTAAAGATTGAGCTACGTTGTATTACTGTATATATGAAATTAAAAGTGAAAACAGACATTACTAGTCAGCGTTGTAGCAAAACTAAAAATGTTTATTTTAGTTTAATAGCTTGCATTATGCTATTGGTCTACTAAAATATATTAACTTAAAGGTAAAAAATAAAATTTCATCTAATTTTATAACTTTTAATCAAATTTTTTATTTCACTCATTCTTCTTTCTTTATTTACTTTTTTTAAGATTTTGTTGTTAAAAAACACAAATTGTTGTTTGTTATGCATTCGTTTTTAAATAAAAATCTATAATAATATAAATAATAAATTTAATATTAAAATTAAATAATATGTTAATATTTTTTTTTTCAGAAAATTGCACCAAAAAAAATAAAACAACAATTAGTATAAAAATTAACTAGCAAATCTTTTTTTAACTTTTTTAAAATATGTAAATTTGATTTATATATGCTTATTTACAAAACAATCAATAATAATAGTATAATAAGATGTATCTAAATTATTTGATTATTCTTTTAAAATATTATGTTAATTATTTTATTTGAAATAAATTAATTTTAAAATAGTGAAAATAATTCATAGCAAATGATTAGTGTTATGTGTGTAGATGTATAGTTAATTTCTAATAAAATCAATGATCTCGGTATTTTGTTTTATAGTTCATGATCATACTCAATGAGCTCTTTGTGCAATATAAATTAAAAAATATGTATTTAAAAAAAAACTTAAGTTGCAAGGAATATATTGAAGTTAATAGAGTGTAATAAAAACAACTAAAAAATTTATTCCAAATTTTTTTAATTATATCAAGAATAAGCCAAAAAAATGTGAATTCTACTAAATTAATTATTTATTTAGAAAATGACATATTCAAAAACTCATAGATAGAGAAAAATAAATCATATTTATTAATATATAAAATTATATAAAAAGAATAAAAAATTAATTTGATGAGAATTTTCATTAAAAAATGATAAATTGAAGAAATTAATTTTAAATAATAAAAATAATATAATCCGATATATATATATATATGTTTATTCTAAAATCTAAAAATATGAAAGACCAAAAACATCTTTTAAAAGACATAAAAGACTAAAAATATATTTTAAAAAATAAGGGACCAAAGTGGAATAAGGTGAAAACATGAGGTACTAAAATATTTTAAAAAAATATGAGGAATCCAAAAAACAATTTTGAAAAAATAGAAAACCAAAATGAAATAAAATGTAAACTTTTCAAATGAATACCCAAGAACTAAAAAAAAAAATTCATGAAAATACTACAATAAAATAAATATCACTCACGAACCGCTGATTGACAGTGATTTGAGACAAATGAATAGTGATTTACTATTCATTTGCTCCAAACCTTTCAGGTTTTCTTTAAATACCATTGATGTATTTCCAGCAGTTTCATGTGCAGGAACTGTTTAAAAAATTGAAATATTCATGCATGCTTTCATCTCTGAAATATTGTCAAAAAAAAGAAAGAAAGAAAGAAAATCTCCACAATATAGTGTTAGTCTGCTCGATCACTGGCTCCTGTTTCTATACTTCCATCTGTGTATTAACCAATGAACTGGATTTAGCTGTTACAAACTTACCATTGACATAACAAGGGGATGTTTTCTTTTCTTCTTTCTTCTTCTTCTTCTTCTGGTTGAACAAAGGAAAATAATGGCTTGGGATTTCAAGCAGGTTTAAAGTTCAAATTTATTGACGGGAGGGAAGAATATAACCCATGACTATTAGGTATCAATATCTACACCTAACACAAACCTAAAATATTAAATGTAATAATAATAGTATTTTCAACCACAAGTCAATGACATCTCAATGTTATTTTATTTATGTGATCAAACATCATTAAAATCAGTTCATAATAAAGCCTTGTCTATTTAATTTCAACACCAAATACTCAGGAATCTTGGATTGAGAAGCCACCTGTCTCTCCCATCCAAATATATAAATACTAGTAGCCGTTAGCGCCTGTCCTCGTTCAAATTCAAACCTAACTTTACTTTCTGCTACTTACTAAAATCCTCTCTTTCTTCCATTTTTCTCATCTGACACAAAAACAACAGAACCATGCTTAAGCTCCAATCTCCGCTCACCGGAGGCAAGAACCTCCGGCCAAAATCTGGCCGGAAACCACTCCAACCAAAGAATTCACCAGCAACCCCAATGACCCAGATTCATATTTTGAAACCAAAGCAGGAGGGGATTGAGTTCTCAGAGGTTAAAGATTCCAACAAGGAAAACCATCCGATCTACACCACTACCCCAACAAAACCCATCAATGAGCCATTGGATTCTTCTCTAGCAGAAGAACTTAGTGCAATCAAGAAGAAGCTAGAGAAGCTGAGATTAGAGAGAGAGAGAACTGAGAAGATGCTCAAAGAAAGGGAGATGGTGATGGATTTGCAAATGAAGGAGCTTGAGCAGAGAGGGGAAGTTCAAAAGAGGCTGGAGATTGAAGTTGATAGACTTTACAGATTGAAGGAACTCCAATCCTACTCTATGGTAAGTTCTTGAGTATGGAACGTGAAAATAATATTAGTACTTGCTACTTGATACTTATCAAATTATTTTATTTATATTTTGAAGCAGAAAATTTCTCCGATTCGAACGCTAAGAGAGAAGGAACATGAAAAGAAGATAAGTGAAGTGCAAGCGGAGGAAATGAAAGCTGAGGATTTGGAGGAATCAGTGGGAGAAAACGCAATGCAGAGTCCAAGTTCAAGTTGGGGTTCAGCAAATTCGATTTCATCCCAACTTGTTGCTGTGAAGTGAGGATTCTCTCTACTGCAATTGTGTTTTGATTTGGGATTTACGGATTCTCATCTAGTTTTTCTTGTTTTCTGTTCTTTCACTTCTACACTGCTCCATTGTATAATTTGGAAGATGCTTTTTTGAAAAGCAAAAATAGTAGTATAGTTTGAATCTGAATTCTGAACGTTAGCCGATGTATTTGACTTTCAGAGCTTCATTATTTCCCTTTTTTCCGTTCAAATTGGGACCTTTCCCCGTTGATTGAGACATGCCATCTTTTCTTTACTTTTCTTCATAAAATATAAAACTATATAGGGTGCCTATTACGAGGTGTTGCTGCCGAACCATGCCGAATACAGACACAAAATTGGGCAATCCCATATTTGCAGCAAACGAAGGCACTAAATTATGCAAGACAAAGTGGAGAAGGCAGTGAGAAGCTAGCGATGCACGTTAAGGATTTGTACAATCGACTGCAACTGTACATAATCTTGTCACAAGCCATTAGCACAATGGAAATAGTTGCCTGGCAATGCGAAACTACTGGTACTCCCAAAAGGATGCTGTGCATTAACGCCGCATCTTAGAATTCCATCAAACTCTTCTATGGAGATATATATCAAGGCAAACTGTGACAAGAATGCGACACATCGTTAGGACAACAAAACGTGGCAAGCTTCAAAAGAAACGAAAATCCATTGATAAGGCAGATTGATCTGCGACCAGGGTCAACTAGCCAAGGATTCTAAATTTTGATGTGATTTATTAGAGAACTCATATACAACTAATTAAAAACTTCAACCATCAAGAGGATGGATTTTCTAAACATTATTTACATGTCTATACTGTGTTTTCTTACCAACATGGGATCCTTTTCTCCAACACTCTGCTTTGACAAGATACATAGGTCCAACTAGAATGTGCCTACCTTCAAATTGAATAATTTTGATTATGGAATTTTTTTTTCCATTTCAGAACGCAACTCTTGTCAAGGTCTTTGTAAACTTTTTGAGGGCCAACTTATAAAATTGACTATTGAATTAATTCAACCACACATTTCAACAACATGATGAATGAATATGATCAGAAGAGAAGAAAATAGCATCTCCCTGAATTGTATAAGCAGCTTATGCCGCATGATCTTTTGCCAAAACACAAATTCTAGCAAATCAAAATCACGGAAGGTTCACATCTTGAATTTTTTTTTCTTCTTTTGTTTTCTGGTTTCTATGCATGAGAAGTACAATTGAACACAACGGTACCAATTCCAGCATGAAAGAATGGCAAGCTGCCAATTCTCCTTAACACAATACCTTTAAGGGTTACCACGGGAGGGAGGTATGGGAAGGCAAGAGGAAAAACATCCCCTCGGGGCATCTATCCTTCAATATGACCAAAAAGACCGCTGAGGTTAAAGTCAAGTGGATAGAGTGTGATGAGAAACAAGCTCTGCTTAAGTTGAAAGCTGGCATCGTGGACTATCATTGTCAGCTTTCTTGATAGGGAAGCAAGGAAGAAGACTGCAACAAATGGAGAAGAGGTGAATGCAAAAAAATATTTGTATATATAATGTGCTTGATCTCAGCACCAACCTTGATCATGATGACTCTTTCATGGTGTACTCTTTATTCGGAAGGAAGATAATTAATCCCTTCATTACTAAAGCTGCAACATTTGAGGTCTTGAGTGTGTTTTGGGGAACCTTCAACCCCGAGCTCATTGGTTCATTACAAAATTTGAGATATTTGAAGTTGTCCAGCTGGTGCGGACCTAATGGGGCTATTCCTAGGGTTAACACACACACACGTGTGTGTGTGTCTGATCAGCTCTTTCCTTTGATCCCATGCATGGGTGACTAAGGATTAGTTTGGTTCTTCTGTTCGCTTTGCTCATTCCAATGCTCTATTTCACTGGGGCTGTTCTATTATAAAAAGTTCAACTCTTTGCGCATTTTTTGCATTAGTTGATTTCCCTTTTTATACTTAATCACCTAGTGCTACGAAACCGGTAGTGCGCAAGCATGTTCAGGGAATTCCTCTCAAGAACATGAGAGCAACATGGCGCAGTGATTTGGTTGTTTATGGATTCATTTGTTTATGGATTCATTCATTCGTCAGCTCACCCTACTAACAATGATAGCAAGTTTTACTGGTGCGATTGTATGCCTTTTAGTTTGCTTCTGGTTATACAGTTTGTTTTGCACAATTTTTTGGAAAGATTGAGGATTCTTCAGCTATTGCACTTACTTATCCAGAAAACTTTTTTGGATTCTATTCTTGTTGTGTTCCATGGTCTGCCTGTAATAGCTTCAGCAGCAGTAGTGGGCCTAGTGGCACCTATCATACCTACAATTATAGTATTGCAAACCCCCACATATGGTGATAGCCAACTGGTCGCGTGTCCCATCCCCTTCTTAATCTGGAAGACGCAAAACCTGAAGTAGATGAAGGCGATTCTAGAGAATGTAGGATTCCAGAGAGAGGTAAATGAAGGCGATTTTTCCGCTAAGATTTTTCCGCTTTTTATAATTAGTCATCTTTCTAATGTGTTGCCCTGTGCACAGCCGGGGAGAGATGCCTGATTAAAAAAAAAAAAAAAAAGGGGATAGATCTGCCTTCTGCCAGTGCAATTTACGCCCGTAAGTAGCGTCTCCTACTCTCCTATCTCGAACTGACGACCTGGCTTCAAATCTAGGGCCGCTTCGGGGAGACTCAGGACACTGCTAGAAGGCCTGTCATAAAAACTCCATGAGCACAATCACCAAAACTTCTGCAAGCCAACATTATATAGCAGCAACGGAGATTCACAAGTGGTGGTTAATATGTTAACAAGGAAGGATTGAGATTTGACAATGCAGCGGCCTCTCATCATCATTATATTAAGTGTAATCTACGTTTAGGTCTCTTTAAAATTCAAAACACAGAAATAAAAGAAGACAAGCCAAAGTGTAAAACAAGAAATAAAATAAAACTAACATAACAAGTTGAGTTAACCAGATTGTTCCGATCTCAGGTCTGGCTAAAGTCATCAAATGACAAGACCAGCAGCCCGGATAGACATCATAACAACATATCCCTAAAGGCTACACCGTATGGAAATGAATGATATACTCTCTCCCAAATACCTAAGACGGCAAACTGAGGTGATGATTCAGTTATAAATACAGGTGAAGCTTCACAGATAACCTGCTCCATACCTGTTCTACAGAAGTGCAGTCCTACCTAGAGACCAGATTAGCAGAATTTCCAATGGTTGTTGCAGTTCACACATGTTACATATGTTGTCATAGGTTCATCTGCACTCCTGGTCTGCATCTGATAGTAAGTGCACTTGCGCTGTCCACAACGACCACACTTAAACTGATCGGTTGTGGCTTGTGCTTGACCACCACGCTCACAATCAAACAATGCTTTCTCTTTAATTTGGTTATTCTCACGTTTCCGTTGTTCACTTGCCATTTCTTCAGGGGACATAGTAACAAGCCTCTCTGGTTTGACCAGTCCAAGGAGAACTTTTCTCCTCAAATCTGGGTTGTTTTGGTCCTTGATGTTGAACATTATGGACCTGTACTTCAATTTTTGGGATCCATTTGACCGACCCAGCTTTTCAAACATCATGGATTCTACCGAGACAGCAACTCGGATTGGGTCGCATGCTTCTACTTCATCCCTAATGTCCTCATCAGCCTCATTGGCAACTTTAGACAAGGCCTCAGCAAGAAGTTCACGAATTTTGTCACGTAAAGCATCATTACATCTTACCAGTGTCTTCAGTTTTGGCAGACCGATAGGTGCTTGTGATGGTTTCTTCACACTGCAAGTCTGCATTTCCTCCTTGCATATCCTCTCATCCTTGGCAGTCTTATCCTGTCCCATCTTCTCAACTTTGACAATTTCAGAGGACGAAACCTTTTCAACTTTTGCCATACTAGTATTTTGAAGTTTCTCAACTTTGACAGTCTCTGATTTTGATACCTCAGCTTTCAATGAACTTTTACCATCAATGCTTCCATTTTTCTTTCTCATAGTCTCCTCTATGACTATCTTTTTCCACATCTCAAGCAAGTCAGATGCCACAGCTCGGACTTTCTCCTTAGGATGCTTTGCAAGGGGACGAAGTTTTTTCCCAACCTGAGATACATAGAGAGGCAAAATGTCATTGGTCATCCATCAAGCATACCAAAATAACCATTTCAATCATAAGTTTAAGGGTTAAACATAATAAAACTTGAAAAGTTAAAGCAATTACAGTGCAAGAAGACAACAAGTGCAAGTGACTTGGACAAGAACCGAAAACTGAATGAACTTTGGCATTCATAGTTTTAAAGCAAAAAATCTAACGTATACTTTAAGAGGCTAAATAAAATAGCATCTAGTATCCATTGTCATTGTTTTCTAAGGTATCTACATGGACTGTATACACACAATATCCACTTCTAATAGACACCAAACCTGATGACTACTTTGTCAAAGTAAAATTAGTGAACTACCTAAATAGGCCCAAAAGAGAAGACATTTCAACATGATTTGATGTGCAGGTAATGCATCAAACAAGCTATGCAACAATTTCAATATCCAATCCTTGAACAACCAATATTACACGTGAGATACTTAAAAAATTTCTCAATCCATCAAAATAACCATATAATAACTGCGGAACTACTTCAATTTAATTTTTGGTTGCCTATCATATAACATGGAGGAAGGGGACAAGTTGTGACAGAATGCATAATTCAGGTTGGAAGATACTTCTGTTGTTCATGAAATTGATTAAAATAGATAGATCATTAATGTGCAACTACGCACATTTCATGCATTGCAACAACAAATACACGTGCCACACAATATTTCTTGAATTGAGTGTGTTTAAGGACAACCAGCTAAAACATGTAACTGGGCATCTACACTGAAAAAGCTCGAGCCTCTGACATATAACCCCCCTTACCATCTATCAGAATAGTGAATGCCTCTAACGGTCATGAAACCCCACAGAATCTAGCTTGCTCTGCTTTGCACTTAATTGTTTAATTAACAAAAACTTGGCAATTAGAATGACATACTAATATAAATTGGATTCAAGAGGTACAGAAACTGAACTCCTTTTTACAAATTAAAAAAACAAAAAACAAAACATTTAAAATTTCAAGCCGCAAATAAACAAAAACAGGAGAGACAAAAAGTTACTTGAGTAGAGACTAAATGAACCATTGCAGAGCAAAAAATTAAATCAAGGGAATGAAGGTAGCAAGACTGGGTTGGGAAAGAACCAAAAACTAAATGCACTTCAATAATCATGATTGCAGAGGTAAAAAAACAACCTATATTAAGAGGCCAATAAAATGGCATCGAGTTTCCATTGCCATTATTTCTAAGGTAGATTTTCATGAATTATCTACAACAAAGATCCACAACCATTTGACACCAAGACAGACACCTACATTTGCCAAAGTGAATCTCTGGACCAACACAACTAGGCAAGCAAAAGATAACGTTTCAGCACAATTCAATATTCACACAAGGCACTAAACATGCTTAACATAAAATCCTTATAACATGTGATATTAAACTTGATAATACAATATACTGCACAAAATTTTGTACACGAAAACGACCACAAAATCTCTTTCCAGCACAAGCAGCTCAACTCTTGGCTACCAACAATACACCAACCAACTGAAAATCAATGGTAATGAAAGCCAACATCAACCAATTTAAGATAATTCAGCGATTCATAAAACTTGTGACTCCAGAGGGACCATCAAGCACAACATAACAGAGCTTTTCTTTTCACAAATTGCATCAACAAACAAATGTGTGTAAATACAATAATGCTTGAGTTGATTAAGTATAGTAACAGGTAACATAGTCTCCAGATTAAGCCATCAGTTTTCAATCCATGAACCTCATAAGACTTTTTCATATTTCAACCTTTTCAGGGTCAATTCCAAAAGGCAACAAAGAAAACGAAAAGAACTAATTCCTTGCTTGAAATAAAAGTTTACTACTTTTTTCTCTTTCACCAATCTATTACAAAAAACAAAACACCTCAAGATTCCATAATCCAATATATCATCCATACCACATGAAAACCCCAATTTTGCAAATCTAATCAAAGTCTTGAAACAAATCAAATCCTATCCAGTTCAAACAATTCCATTCTTAATTACAACCAACGACTAAAATCACAATATAACATCAATTACACCCCACAAAAACAAAAAATTAACTCCTTATACACAAAATAAACCCTAAAAATTTAAGATATAAAAATTTAAGCAAATAAATGAAAAATAAAAGAGACCCTTAATTAATTACCTGAGTAGAAACAAGAATTTCACTAGTAACTTTAAACTTCCTGAGCTGTTTCAACGCATCAACACACCGAGTCACCTCCGGTCCACTAGATGGCACGTCGTCATCGAGAGAAGCATCTGCAGCTTTCTTCGCTTCATCAAATAACTCCACCAACTCCCTCTCCATTATCGATTAATTCTGCCTGAAAACACACACAAAAAAAAAGACTCAAACTATATGAATTTTAAAAAAAAATCTAGTATTAAATTGACAGGTAGGTAGGATTACAACCCAATAAAAAATTGAGAGATCTGAAAGAAAGATTAGATCTTTGTATAGTACCAGAATAAAAGGATCTAGAGAGGTGGGTTTTCGATATTTTTGACGGCAGTTGCAGTTTAGAGAAGCTCCCGTCTGTCTCCGAAAGCTTTGGTTTTGGGGTTTGAAGATTTCTCTGTTTTTGGCTCAGGTTATTTGCTACTGACGACACATAGGTGGAGACGGAGATAATGGTATAAGAAAGAAAGGTAAAGAAATAGGTAGGAATTTATAAGGGTTATGCTGAATTATACTTTAGTTCTTATAATCTTACATAAATAATTGATTCGTCTCTCTAGTTTTAGAAACTTGTAATTTATCCTTGTAATTTTAAATTTGTTTATAATTCAGTACTCTTGTCAATTCCATTTTCTTTTCTAATTTATTTTTTGAGTCAAGAAAATAGAAGTGGGTGAGATGGAAAATTTTATTTCGAAACAAAAGCAACTGAACTTAAGATGGTCAATGCTAGTCAAGGGATTATTTAACTATTTATAATAGTTTAGTGACTAGCTAATAAATGTGGATATACTATATGGATTAATTTACAATTAACTTGGTTTTTGTGTTGTGGTTTTGTTGTTGCAAATGGACGGTTCCTGATGTCTGTATTGAATTTTGCTTTTGACTAGTTGCCTTTGGGTTTGGTTTGCGATTTTTAGGGGATTGGATTGTGGGCTTTGTTTTGTGGTTATTGAAGTTGGGCTGGGCCCCTTCGTTTGAGGGCCTACATTTTGTTACCATTCTGTAAGGTCTTCTCTACTGATCAACTTAATACAAATTTTTTTAGAATCATACGAGGGAATAATAATGTTACCTTTTCATTGTTACATAATATTGTCTTTTTTTGGTTAAAAATTGTTGGTTATCCTTCTGCTATATGAATATAATCAAATACATCCCTGTGCTTCTAATTTTGATCTACATGAAAGCTATGCTGTGTGAATTTAGTTAAACTAACCACTCTACAATATTGTTTTTACTGGTAATTAAGTCATTACCCATATCTCTCTCTATTTTATTATTATTATTATTATTATTATTATGGATTAGTAGTTGATCAATCATCAATCTTTTAATGTATAATTATTTTTTATTATTATTATTATTATTATTGTTTGTTGATTCTACCCTCCAACTTCTTGAATTTAGATTACAATATGTAATATGAAAAAAAATAATAATGATTTTTCTTTTTCAATTTGAGACGTGGATTTTAGGAGAACTCAAAAATATTTTAAAGAAATTATTTTTTACATAACATGTTTTTTAAAAGTGCTCCTAAAATATCAATTATTGAATATTTATATTTGAATTTGCAATAAGAATAACATGATTTTAAATATGTGTTTACTCAAACCTTGGATTTCAAATTAGACTTACATAGTCTTAATAAATGAATGTAAAACTGCCTTATAAGCTCAATAGTAATACAAAAACCTTTTTCTCCTTTTTCACACAACTTTCATTCTATTTTTGTCATTTGATTTCGATAATTTATTTGTTATTTTTTCAATTAGAACACCCTTTCAGATTGTTTCATGAAACAAAAATCTCAAAAATTAGTTTAAACTTTAATTTAAATATCTACTTAATTGTATTTAAGATTAAAAAACATAATCAGGCACATAAACTAATTATACTTCTTGAGATATATTTTAAATATCGATGAAAAATTTATGATATAATTTATTAATTTAATAAACATAACTAAAAAAATCATAAAATAACTTGGACAATTCTTTGTAAAATAATAGAATATACATCTCCATATTAATGTCATTTATTATCTATCTTATGTAAATTGGTAGACTAACTTATTTAAATTAAAAAAAAATTGATACAATTTATCTTTTTAATACAATCATAATACTTCTATAGATTTTATATTTTGCCCGTGCTAACATACGAAAATTTTATTGATAATCTGAATCGTTCAAATCCAAACAAAATTTTAATTTTTTATTTAATTCAAACAAATTAAATCATTAATACCACACACATAACAAAACACCATAAATTATATGAGATGAGATATATGAAGAAACAGTCGCGTAGTACCAATTACTGTAAAAGGAATTGAATAATACCAAAAACATATAACCACTCAAATAATGAATCCATATATTCAAACAAATATCAACCAAATTTTGTATCTTGACATGAAAACTTCTTCTAGATCTCCCGACATTAAGAATTTTAATGAATGTTTATTGAATCAACTAATTTTTTGCAAATACAAACACAACACAAGTTATGAGGTAAAAAAAAAAAAACAAAGACACTAATATGAAACACAATACAAAAGCTTTATCATAATAAAAAAAAAAATCAAAGTCATAATCTAACTGATATTTATCGAAAATAAATTCATTAGAGGTCCTAAAAATTCTGCAAAAAGCTATGAAATCACATTTTATTGAGACGTGTTAATAGTAATCCACCAATATATGCGAATATATTGCATTTCAATTCTCTCTCACAATCTACAATATCAACAACAACACATACTTAGAAAAGGGTCCAAATATAGATATTGAAGATGGAATTTTTTAATTTTTTATTATCAATTTTACGTGTATTTATTTGTGCATACGTGTGTGTGAGAGGTAGAGAGAGGAAGACAACAATATATCTCTTCTTCTTCTTCTTCTTTTGGAAACGAGAGATAGTACTCTAAAGATATATTAAATAAAATGTGAGAGGATACATGAAGAAGACAAAACCGAACTGACCCAACGAAACCGGGGAGACAAGATAGCCTAAACCCCCTTAATTGAAAGTTACAAGAACAAACGAGTTGATTGTAAAATAAAGCTAAAAGCTATAATAGATCAACCAATAAAGAAACTACATTTACAAAGAATTAGTGCTCTAACTCACAACCAACTTAATGAGGATAATAGTTAAACAAACCTAGTCCGTCATCCGAAACAACAAGCTATGCAAGAAATGGACAAATCAATGAATCGAGAATATAATCTTACTAAAAGTGTGCTTGAAATGCCTAATCCGAAAGGTAATCCGCAACCATATTACCCTCCTTATAGGAATGTTGAAGGATAATATCTATTATAAAGCATGCCTAACATTTCTTAAAAAATATAAGTAAGCTTTCATGGACATTAAATAGAACGAGAGAGGCAACCCAAGATCAATGACAAATCAGCCTCCACTATGTCGTAATTTATGTTAAACTTATTACAAATTCGATACCATTTAGAAGAGCACGAGCCACCATTTTAGAGTTCATTCTAGGCCCATAAAAACTTGAGAATACCATTGTTAAACCACCCCTATCATCTTTAAGAATGCCACCCCCATCGCATAAGTTATTTTGAATGCTTCATCAATATTTAGCTTTAACTTACTCGAAGGAGAAATTTGCCACTTAACCCAATTCCCTCTAGTAGGTTTAAAGGCTTGTAACGTAATGCCCAAAGCACCTAAACAAAGGTTTGTCATGAAAGGAAAGGGATTTCTTTAGACAAAATAAAAGCGAAAGGTTGTTTAGCCATTTTAGAACCTTGTGTTTAATATTTAACCAATTCATACCTTCATTGTCAAACATAGATTTGTTCCGAGATAGCCAAATTTCTCATATAATGCAATTAAACACTATGATACGAGCAAAAGATTTTTTAGAATATATATTTACCTTTTGTAAGCCAAAATGAAACTAGTTGCACCACATTTCTAACTCTTTAACGAATGTATAAGATGTTACCAAAGAAACACAAAGTCGTTTCATGATATCTCAATACGAGGAATAGGTGATATGTGGTTTCTTCTTTCCCCGAGCTACAACACCGATATTTAGAGGCCAAAAAAAATACCACAAGACTTTGTATTTTCTTCTACTACCACTCGTATTAAGTAGGATTCCAAACAAAAATGCTAATTTTCCAAGGGATTCATTTATTCCAAAGGCTCCTCCACCATTTAAACTTATGAGCAAGTAACCACGATAGCCTTATGGTAAGCTTTATGGTTGAAAATAGTTATCTTTAACTTAGTGTAAAAAAGCCTATCCTCTATAATGTCCTCTAGATACGGTAAGTCTAGTTCCTTTTGTATATGCTTGTGGTAAAGATATATAAAGAGAAAAATCATGCTTTATTTAAGCTACAAAGTATCCAAATTGCCCATGGAAGAAGGCGAGTTCAACCTATGTCCATCCGTCCTTCCAAAGCTTAATTTTGCTTGAACCATCACCTAAATAGAGTGGTCTAGCAAATAACCAATATGGGGAATAATGGTTCTCCGTATAAGTGATCCTTTCCTTCTATTGATTATGTTAAATGAAGATGGCTCCCCAAACTTTACCCTCACAAAAGAACTCCATAGAGTTAAACTCGTTAAGTAAGATCAAGCTAAACTTCCTTTTTATAACATTCATAACCTCATCGAGATTCTTAACTCCTAATCTACCCTCCCGGAGAGGAAAAGAAATAGATTTCCAGTTAATCTAGTGATACCAACTATCACCATCACTATTCAAAAAAAATTAGAGATATGACCTTGTATTCGCTAAGAAAAGTCTTTGGTATAGGCGGGACTCCCATAATGTAAATAGATATTGAAGTTAACACACTTTGAATTAAGGTCGACTTTACTCATGTAGAGAGTAACCAACGTTTCTAGCCTATCGGTTTATCTTTGACCTTATTTTCCAAATTGTCAAAGTATTATATGCAAACTCTCTCTTTAAATAGAGGCATGTCCAGGTAGGTCAACATAAAAGTGGATGGGGAGAAGCTCGCCTAAGTTGAGAGGAGTACTTTTCTATTTAGAGGCAATTTCTTCGTTGCAAAAAAAAAAAAGAACTTTTTAAAAATTGATGGCTTAACCACTATTAGAAGAATTCA